ATGCACCACCACACTCAGCTGATTTTTTTACTTTTCATAGTGACAGGGTTTTACCATGTTGCACAGGCTAGTCTTGAACTCCCGGACTCAAGTAACTTTATCTGCCTCAGCATCCCAAAGAGCTTGGATTATAGGTGTCAGCAACTGTGTGTAGCCCAGAATGGCTATTATAAAAAGTCAAAAAAATAGATGCTGGTGAGGTTTTGGAGAAAAGGGAATGCTTATACACTGCTGGTTGAAATGTAAATTAGTTCAGCCATTGTGGAAAGCAGTATGACAATTTCCTAAAGAACTGCATGGTAGTCCACTCAGGATGGTAGTAGAGATTGTAAAATTATAGAATATAGTCACAAACCTTTTTGGAAAGCTGAGAGATTTACGTAAAAGCTTCAGGAAAGAATGGGCTGAAGGCTGCTAGTTCTTTTATCTTGAGACTTGAAGCATAGGGCAGTTAACAGGGGGGTGCAAAGGAGTTTAAATGGCTTGTTGTCCTAAGACCAACCTTTGCCCATGTGTGCTTGACTGCCTCCTACTTGGGGGGTTGGCAAAAGTTTATTACTCAAAAACTTGCTTTAGGCCTTGGAATCTGGCCTTTGATCTTCACCCTCTAGTGGTGTTGACTCAAAGTCTCTGTGGCTTAATGTGTGCTGAATAAAGGCTGGGAAGGCCAGTGAGTTGAGGCCAGTGGTGGCTAATATCTTCAGGTGAGTGGCCACAGACACCCCTAGCCTGTTCTTCTGCTGTATTCTGTGTCTGACTAAATTTATTCATCCATTGTGCAGCTGGGGTCTGTGGGGTGGACCGCGGCAGAAATGAAACCAGAATTACCATTTTTTACACATTTGTTCTCTCATCCAACTTTAACTTGTGGGACACCAAATTTTGTGCCCTTGACAAACACTCTTTGCACACTCATTCTCCACCATCTAGATGACATTCCTTTCATATTTACTTGAATTTGGCCTTGATTTTTATTTCAATTTTGATTTTTAGCTTGACATTGGTGTTGATCTTCCCTTTGATGCTGACTTTAAATTTTACATTGACCTTGACTTGATCTCAACTCAGACACAACCCTGTTTCCCACCTTATGTCTAGGCCATATCTAGCACAGAGTTTCTTTACCTTTGACACTAACCTTGACCTTGAGCTTTGCTATGGTTCTAACACTCATCCTGTTCTTGAACAATAACCAGATCATATACAGCACTAATTACAAAGTTGAATATAATCTTGACTTTGATTTTGGCACTGACTTTGATCTTTTATTGACCTGTTAAGACTTTCTTCCTATCCTTTCATTACTACCATCTACCAGATGTGGCCTTATGTGCAAAGTTGAAGTTGATTGATCCCTTAAATTTCTCCTTGATTTTTATGTAACTACTTAAACCACTTCACAGGCAGATCAAACTCAGCTCTGATTTTGAACTTGAACCTGATTTAGACCTTGGCCTTGAACTTGACCTCAACATATTGCTCCTGACTGAAATTCAAGCTTGAAGTTTCCTAAAACTTATTTTAACCTTTAACTTGACCTAGACCTTGAAACTGAGATGGAACTTTACTTTTTCACCTTGATACTAACCCAGATCTACTTCTTGTTTCTAATTAAAATCTCTATCATGTACGGTTCAAATTCTCACGACTTTGAACTTGAACTCTGCAGCTCAGAAGATACAAAAGGGATGGGTAATGTAAAAATCTGGATCAATATTTGAATTCTGGGGAATTATACTGTAAATCATGCCAGATCATCATCTGGGTAAATGGGGTGCTCATAACCCAGAGGTTTCTTTTTTGGGGAAAGTAAGACAAAATGAGCTAACCAGGGCCAAGCCCTATGCACCCAAATCTTAGCAGGCATAACTACAGCCACCCATTATCTGGAATATCTTGGCAGCCTTGGGATTTTTGAGCTATCCTTACCCCCTTGTTTCCTTTTGATCCATGTTTCTGATAACTTGGTTTGTCTCTTCTCACCGTCAGGCCATCAAAGTCCAAATGGTCATTCAAAGGGAGCCTCGGACAATGGCTCCCTTTAACTGGGGACCCTAGGCCTCTGAGAGAATATCTGACTGCCACTTTCCCCAAAACAATGCCCCTTGTCAGCATGAAGCAGTTATCGTCTCTATACTAATGGCAGATGTACCGCTTCAGAGGGGAAGCTGATGGCAGAGGCAGCCCATCTGGAGCAGTGGTTGTTGAATATGCCAGCTGCAGTGGGGGAGACATGGCTGGGGTTGCACACTCCAGGGCAACAGCAGGAGCTGGAAACAGGTGGGGACCCTGTGCCCTACTGAATTGGTAGGGTGGGAGCCCCATGCTCCTGGGCACAGCTGCAGCCACCCAGCTGTGGCTCTGGACCCAGGCATTCCTGTGCTCTCAAGGCCCTGGAAGCCCTCCTGCCCGTGCAGGTTCAGAAATGCCTGCTCCCACTCCCTGGCCCCTCCCTGCTCCTGGCACCCACTATGATCTTGGAGCAAAGTTGAAGCCAAGCCTGGATGCTGTCATGACCGGCCTGGTTTGTATGCACTTGGGGCAGCACTAATACACCAGCCCTACCACTGCCTCAGCCCTCTCTGGACTTTGGGTGCTGACTTTGGGTTCCCTCCTTTGAGAGGGAGGCTGGGGATGGTTAGGGGCAGCTTGGTGCAGGCCTGCAGGTGCCCTTTGACACAAACGGCCTGGGCACCATGGAAAGCATGTTGGTGGCAGGAGGCAGACAGGCTCCTGAGTGAAAAGGGGCAGGGTCCTGTCAAAAATCCCACTTCGATCTAGGGATGACCTGAAGCCTGCAGGCTGGGCCAGTTCAGGATAGAGTTTGCAGTCTGGAGTGAGAACTTACGGTACTTACGGTACAGGAGGAATGAGGTATGTAGCCAACCCATGGCTACTCATGGGCCAACCAGCATGCAATTCCTGCCTTCTGTGACCATTAAAAACCCTGGACTCAGCCAGACCCACACTTATTGGGATGACCTCCCTGTGGAAAAGAGCTACCCATTCCAGGTCTCCTATCCACTGAGAGCTGGACACTCATTGGAACGACCTGCCTGCAGAAAGGAGCTACCCACTCAGGGTCTCCTGAGAGCTGTTCTGTCACTCAGTGAAGCTTCCCTCTGTCTTACTTACCCTCCAGTTGTCTACATACCTCATTCCTCCTGGATGCAGGACAAGAATTTGGGACCTGCTGAATGGTGGGACTGAAAGAGCCATAATACAAACAGGGCTGAAACATGCCATGTTGCAGGTGATGAGGAAAGAAGAGCTGTAGCCCTTCTGGGAACCCAACCTTGGAGCTCCCTGAGCCAGAGCTGTGACATCCTCTTTGGGGCTCTGCAGCCCCTGGTGTCTCCATGCTTCTGGGCACCACCGCATTCTAGATGCGGGTACCTGCAGTGGATGCTCTTGTAGTACATCTGATCCAGTTGCAGCCTTGCATGGAACTGGCACCTGTGCCAGTGCCTGAAGCTGCCTGCCCCCCTGCAACAGCTGGAATGCCTGGTGCCTGGCTGTGTGCAGTGGCTGGACCCCATGCTCACTCACTCACATATCCCTCATTACTCTGTGCCTGGCTCACCTTGGCAGGTGTGGGAGCATGAGCTGGTAGCAGGAGCTGAGTGCAGCCTGCCAGGCCGAGTGGACAGAAGGAGCCCAGCAGGCCTGAGCAAAACTTAGGCAAAGTTCCTACCGGCCATAGAGGCTGGCAAAGCAAGGATCTTGTGGCACTTCCTTTAGTACACACATAAGTTGGGTCTGAGCCCAAATGTCTATGCTCAAATCCTCAATCTGGCACTCACTAGTCATAGGACCTTGGGAAAGTTAAGCCTCATAATGCTTCAGTCATCTACAAATGGGAGTGGTACATACTGCATCACTTATTGTGAGGCTATCAGTTTACCCATCAAATGCTTAGAACATAACCAGACACACAGGAAGTGCTGGATAGATCTTAGCTCTCATTCCATGCTTCACTAGCACCACATGCTTGTCTTCTGTAGGACTTATCAGAGCTAGACTTTGAATACTCATGTGATGTTCATGACTGTCTCTCCTAGTAGGGACTTGAACCAGGGATGATGAGTGCTTTTCCCACAAGTGTGTCCCCAGTATCTAGCCTGGAGTTTGGCACGTAGTTATGTTGAATATTCTCCAGTTGCCTCTCCAGATCCATCCCCAACCTCCTCTGGCTCTGTGCCTCAGGAGGCTGAAACATCTGTCGGTCATCAAGAGGCTCCCCTAGTCATTGAACTTCTGGTTGGGTTTGGCCAATGGGAGAAACGGGCAGGAGACAATAGGGTGGACAGAGAATGGGATTGGGATATTTATTTCCCTGGCTTTCTCTGCCAGGCCACAAGCTGAAGCAGCCATGTCTCTTTATTAGAGATCCCCACGCATCTCAGGCAACCACAATCCCAACATTCTCCAGGTCAGGTGAACGCCTGATAGCGCCTGGCCCCAGGATGCCTTCGCCCTTCTTAGGTCCCCATGTACCTATAAACTGTGCCTTCCTTAAATTCTGCTCAATTATTCCAGTTAATGCACTTCCTTCTGGAACATTGATACAAGAGGTTCTGTATCAACATTTGTTGAATAAATGAGTAGACGCCTATTTTACCATATGAAGACAATAATCCTCAGGCCCAAGCATGGCTACAGTTGTCCCCATGAGTTAATAAGAGACAGGAAGCGATCATACCTTTTTTAAAGATGATGTTCTCGAATAGTAGTTCTCAAATGTGGGTGTGCATTAGAAACCTGGAGGGCTTGCTGAACCCATATAGCAGGCTCTACTCCCAAGAGATGCTGATTTGGCTGGTCAGGCCTGGGGGTGAGGGATAGTAATTTGCATTTCTAACAAGATTTCTGGTGACAATGATGTTTCTAGGCTGAAGACCACTCTGAGAAACACTGCACAAGAGAAATGCCAGATGCTTTTGTTATTTATAGACCCCAAGCCTCAGGGCTGCATTAACTGTCTTTAAAGACATAAAAGGTCAAGTACAATATAATCAGTTTTATTTTACACTTCTCTGATTATTGAAATCTCAACAGAGGTGTTTGCTAATAAACAAAAAGGAAAATAAAAAAACAGCAAGGACAAGATTAAATGTTGACAGCAGATGAAGGGTTGTACAGGGCCCCATCCTGGGAGGCTGTATACATTCTCGGCATAGCAACAGAGTGGCCTGCGGAGCTTGAACCTGGCTGGTAAAGACAGCAAGTAAGCCACAGCTCAAACCCTGAGGCTGGGGAACAGAAAGGAGCTCCTTCCTGGTCCATCCCAATCTGGGTGGCATGGGCATGGAAAAGAGCAAACACACCCCGCAAAGCACATTGGACATGCCTCTTCTTTAGCTTCTCAGGCAAGAGACCCTCCTCTCCATAAACGCATGCACACTCGCATGCTCACAAGCATGTACACACACCATATTCACACACTCAAGCCACGCTCTTGATTTCAGGGCTCTATCATGGGCTCAGGTACCACGGCCAGAACTGAGGTATATGTGAGCTACCTTAGCAGACTCACAAAAGGCTACGGCAGGGGCGGGGTCAATCATCCCAAGGACCTGGCAAGGGAGAAACTGAATTCTGTACCCCACTGTTGTGGGAGAAAATTCTAATGAGCAAATGGGCCTAGCGAGGCCCAGTTAGGGAGGTCCGGAAGCCAGTTCTGAGATGTCACCCAGTTCTGCTTTGCTCCTCAGTAGCCAGTCGGCGAAGAAGCAGAGTGCCAGGAGGCCAGTCCCGAGCAGGTCCCCCAGCCCTGTGAGGTAGGGGATGCAGTGGTTATCAGGATCCTGGGCCTGGTGCCAAGTCAGCCGAACCATCACTTCTGCCAGGTACAGCAGGATTGCCACCTGTCAGGAGAGCAAAGAGACACAAAAGAAGACCAAGTCAGAAAGCCAAGCATGGGTAGGAAGCACTAGCTGAGGCTCAAAGGCAGACACCAAGGTGGACATGTGAGCCCCAGCCAGCCTCCTTCCTCCAGCTTCTCTTGGAGTCTGAAGCCCAGCTCTGAGCTCAAGCAGTGGCTAGAGAGGTGACCTTCATCTGCACTTTCCTAGCCTCCTGCCTCTGGTGGGCCCTGCTCCTGTCACCCTGAAGGGCCAGTCAGACACACTGCCACTCACCAGCTAGGGCTCTCTCTGCTGTGCCAGGCTCCACTCATGGGACTTTGCTGAGAGGTCCACTGGGTTTGCCTGAGCTCTTCTCCCTGGAGGTTAGGACAGCCAGCCCTTCCTGAAGGTGCCATGGGGTAGTCCACACAAGCCTGCTCAGGCCTCACGGCTCCTCAGTCCCTTGTCCAAGGCTGACCCCAGCTCCTTCCTTCTCCCCAACTGGAGCCATAAGCTGCTGCTGCTCAGGACAACTTATTGGATTTCCCGAATTCTACCCTTTAGGGTCAGGAACACACCGCAATTACAAATGCCATCAACTCAGGGAGATGAGAAAGCGGCAGTACCAGTACCATACCCCCAGAATTGCCCTCCAGTGTCCACACTGCTCCCTGCAGAGGACCCAGGCCCACTGGGGACCAACAGCCCACTGAAGTCTAGGCAGTGTGCTGAATACCACCCCAGCACAGGAACCAGCTTAATCTCCTTCACCACCGTGATCACTGCTGTCCAGCTCTGATCAAAGCCTATGCATGCCTCATAGCAGCACCCCTGCAGGGGCCTGGCCCTGCCCACCTGCTACTGGGTAGACAGTGGATGGCTGGACTGCTCATCAGCCTGTTTCATGCGAACATGCTTCATCCTCAGGCTGCTCCTCTTATCCTCTGATGATGAATGTGCAGCGTGCAGTGTGGCATGTTGTATGTGGTGTCTAGCATGCAGCATATAGTGTGAGGGGTGATGTGCAGGATGAAATGTGGAACATGCAGTGCAGTATGTAGTGGAAGCTGTGTCGCATGTAGGATGTGGCATGCACTGTGACATGCAGCATGTAGCATGGGTGGCATGCACTGTGTGACGTGTGGTATGGAGTGTGTGATTTGGGGTGTGTGGTGTTGGGTGTATGGTGTGGATCGTGTGGTGTGTGGTATGAAGTGTGGTCTGTGTAGTATGAAGTGTGTGGTGGGTGGTGTGTGGTGTGGGGTGGTGTCGGCTGTAGGGTGTGGATCGTATGGTGTGTGGTGTGAAGTGTGTGGTGTGTAGTATGAAGTGTGTGGTGGGTGGTGTGTGGTGTGGGGTGTGGAGTGTGTGGTGTGTGGTATGGAGTGTGTGGTGTGGAGTATGCAGCATGCTGTGTGCAGTGTGGAGCAGCCTCTGTATCTGACAAGTTGACTCAACTCCTGGAAGATAGGGACTCATTCATTTATTCCCAAGTGTTCACTGGATACCTACTATGTGGCAAGCACGTTCTGGCCGATGGCGATACAGTCTTTCCCCTTCCATTCTGGAGCTGATAGGTTAGAACCCCACATGTCCAGCCACCTCCACCCACCCCGCTCAGCCTCTCAGGAGACAGAAAATGCCTGGCTGGCTACCCACCTGCGGACCTCTGCTGCGGCAGTCAGGCTTACCTGGATTAGGCCTGCCAGCAGGTAGAGCACCACAAAGGTCTGGCTGTTTGTGACCGACTGACCCTCCACCAAGTAGATAATGTAGAAGAAAATCAGATGGCCTGGGACCACCAGCAAGAGCAGGACTCGAGCTGACATGGAATTGATTTCTGAAAGAAACAGAACCAAGAAGGTCACGTCACCTGCAGTGAGGCCACCCTGGCATGTGACAGTCCTCAGTGAGGCATCCACACTCACTCATCCATCTATTCCCGAGTGTTCACTGGACACCTATGAGACAAGCATATTCTGGTAGATGGGGATACAGTGTTTCCCCCTTCCTCCTGGAACTGTTATTTTTAAAAAGAGAAACAAACAAGAATCAAGTAAGCAGAAATAAAAAGAAGAAAGAAAGACTATTTCAGACTGTGGGAAGTACTTTGAAGAAAATGAGGGTAAAAGGAAGGGAAAAAGCAGGAAGCCTATCGGGGGATGAGCTCCTGCAAATAGCATTTCAGTTGGGATTTGAATTTGGGGGAGAGGAGTTTGGGCAGACAAAAGAGAACATGCAAGGGGCTTAAGAAGAAAAAGAGCTTTGGGCGTGGTACTCCACTCAATGCGGCACTGGTGATCTGGGGAGGGCAGCTGGTTCAAAACGTTCGTTTTGTGTTTTAGACGGAGATTTACAGCTATTTCTGAAATGCTTGGATTTGGCTGGAAAATTCTGTTGTCGGCTTCTTCACAGAAAGGGTTTACAAACTCCTGCAAACACACATCAGTTTTACTCTGTAAGTTGAACGCACACATTGAAGGCCGTTCTGTTAGGTTGCTCCGTTTTGATTTTAGAAGCAGATATTTCTCAATACAGCGTTTACTCCCATTCACTCTGGAATATCAAAACGCAGCTCCTAGAAGAAACGCACTTCTCACTCTCTCAATCTCAAGGCAGATTCAACTCCCTTAGGTAAGCGAACACACAGCAGAGCAGTCTGAAGGATACGTTCGTTTTGTGTTTTAGACGATTTACAGCTATTTCTGAAATGCTTGGATTTGGCTGGAAAAATACATTTTCCGCTTCTTCACAGAAAGGGTTTACAAACTCCTGCAAACACACATCAGTTTAACTCTGTAAGTTGAACGCACACATTGAAGGCCGTTCTGTTAGGTTGATTCCCAGGCTCAAAGTTTAGACTTTACAATAAGTGTGATCGTCCCTGGCTCTACCACAAACACTTTTCAAAATTTTAAAGTGAATGTGATTGATTTCTCAAATGAAAATGGAGTTCTAATGAAAAGTCAGTCTCCATTTGCCCTGAGTTAAAACATGTATTTCACCAAAATGATAAAGAAAAGGAGAGAAAAAAAAAAAAAAAAAACAGATATAGCTCAAAGCTAATGCAGAGGAGTACCAACATCTATTCATGATGAGAAATCAGACATGGAATAAAAGTATTCTTTAAAAAAATAGTCAAAAAGAGGAAGCAAAATGATCGGAAGAAGCTGCTATTGGAAGTTTGTGTGAGAACTCAAGATAATCTATAAAGCAACCATGTAAACATAAGAATTCAATAGAATGTGTAGGTGTACGAATAACACAGAAAAATAATAGCTCTTCTATATACAAATGACAAGTTAGAAAATATAACAGGGAGTTTGACATCTGAGCAAAAGGGGAAGACATACTTCTTCCTATTTCTCCCACTAAGTACAAATAAAAGCCTGAACATTGTATATAAAACAAACGCAAACAGATTCTGAAAGGCTGGCTGGGGACCTTGGGCCGCAATTAACAACATGATCGTGAGTCCCCTGAATTGTCCTTTTTTCTCTTTATTTGCCTCACGTATCCAAGACTAAGTCCTGGAGAAGTCAGCCATCAAGAAATACAGACACAAATAGACAAAAAAGACTCCAAAGGCTGGGTGCAGTGGCTCATGCCTGTAATCCCAACACTTTTAGAGGCCAAGAAAGGCGATCACTTGAGGTCAGGAGTTTGAGACAAGCCTGGCCAACATGGTGAGGCTTGTCTCTACTAAAAATACAAAATTAACTGGGCATGGTGGCACATGTCTATAATCTCAGTTACTTGGGGGGCTGAGGCAGGAGAATTGCTTGAACCTGGGAGGTGGAGGTTGCAGTGAGCTGAGATCATACCACTGCACTCCAGCCTGGGTGCCAGATTGAGATCCTGTCTCAAAAAGAGACTCCATAGAAATCTGCTCTTTTTAGCCAAAGGCCAAGAAAGGGGCAGCCCAGCAAAACAGAGAACTTTCAGATAATAACTACCCTGCTCCAACACATAGCACCGGATAAACTGCAACCCCAACCCCATCAGGAGAGGCCAAATGGTACCACCATCATCTGTGGCTGGCAGGGTGAGATTCAGAACTTTCATCCCTACCCAGTGGTAATGGGGTTCCCACCTTGTCAGTGAAGCCATGTGGGGAGCAACAATAAGGCGTCTCTCCTCGTCCCAGCCAGGGTGGTCTCAGAGGAGGCCTAGTGAGGAACCTAGATCGCACTGTGCCCAGCAGTAACAAGGTGTTCCTCTTCTTCCAGGATAGCAATAGAGGCTGAGTGGGGAACCTGGCCTTCCACCCCCACCTAGGAGTAAGGCAGCAATCCATTTCCTTCTTCCCAGTGGTGCAGTGTCAACAGAGGCCAGCTAAAATGGAGATTCAAATGTGATCCAAAGTCTTGTCACATAATACCTGAAATGTCTGGATTCAAATGAAAATCACTCATCTTATCAAGAGCCAGAAAAATCTCAACCTGGATGAGAAAAGACAACCAACAGATAGCAGAGTGAGACGACACAGATGTCAGCATCACCTGAAAGCTGTTTTAAGGAAGCCACTACAACAATGCTTCATCAAGCAATCACAAACACACCTGAAACAAACAAAAATAGAATGTATAAGCAAAGAGAAAGTCTCAGAAAAGAAAGAGTAGAAAGAAGAACCAAATGGAAATGTTAGAACTAAACACATGCAATACCCCACAAAGTCCCAAACAACTCAGTGAATAGGCTCAATAGCAGAATGGAGAGGGCAGGGGGAAAAAAAATCAGTCAACTTGAAGAAAAAAGTAATAGAAATGAGCCAATCTAAACAAGAAGAATAACAGACTTTGAAAAAACTAAACAGAGTCTCAGGGACTTGTTGAGGTGTAACAGAGGATGTAACATTCATGTCATTAGAATATCAAAAAGAAAGAGTATAGCTGAAAAAGTGATGGCTTAAATTTTCCAATTTGACAAAAGATGTAAATCCATGTGTTCAGGGAGCCTAAAAACCCCAAATAGGATAAACTCCAAGAAGTCCACACCAATACATGTCATAATCCAACTCCTAGCCACTAAAGACAAGGTCTTGAAAAATGCAAGAGAGAAACGGCCCCATCCCTATACAGCAAAACACACTGAAATGGCAGTAGATTTCTCATAAGTCATGGAAGTCAGAAGGAAGGGGCACATTTTTCAAGTGTTTGAAAACAACTATCAACGCTGAATTTCATAAGCAGTGAAAATATCCTTCAGAAATGTGCCAACAGCCAACCCAAAAGATGGCTAAAGGTAGTTCTCAAAACAGAAAGGAAATCCAAAACAATGTAACAGGAAAAAAGATTAAGTTTTCAAAGCCAACAAAAGGTAAAATCTCTCCAAAAGCTTCCAATGGTTCTGAGTAGAATCCAGCCTCCTTCCTCAACTCCAAGGCCCTATCTGCTCACCCCTTCCGGGCTCTCTGGCCTCAGCATCCTTCATCCCCTCCTGTCCATTCAACTCAGACCATATTTGTCTTTCAGTTCTTCAGACTTGCCACACTCTTTCCTGCCTTTGGGCCTTTTCTAGACGGCACCCACTTTTCTGAAAGCCCCTTCTTCTCCAGCCCTCCTCCTCCCAACAACACCTGCTTGTCCTCAGGGAGGAGCTTCCCAACCCCAAGTGTATATCCTCTAATTCTTCTTCTCTGCACTCTGCACTTTTGCTACTCAGTACACACTATAATTTGTAATTATGAGCTCACTTGCGTTTATCTGCCCTTCTACATGGTGTACTCCAAGGGTAAGAAATCAGCTCTCCCTGTTTTGTCACTAATCTGACACCTAGTACCCAGTAGACATTCAATAAATAATTGAATGAAGGAATGAAGGAGAGGCAGGGCCAGGGAGCCTGGTTTCTGGGGCCCTGAAGGTGATGTGTGCAGAGATCAGCCCTGGCCTCAGGCATCCATTGCTAGACACCAGATTCCAACAACATTGATATTTTCTTGTTTAAACCAACAGCTATGATGCCCTCTGAAAGACATGACACCCACCTGATGTGCAGAAAGTAGAACAAGGGTTGGGCCAGAGTTTTTTCATCTGGAGGGGCAGGACACCAGGTGTGCTCCACATGTGGAGGTAGGTTGAGATTCGGCTGGTCTGAACGGCCACCAGATTGCCACCAACACCTACGAGGAGAAAAGAAATGTTTTCCCCTTCTTCACACCAGTCTCTAAGTTGTATCCCTTATTTTAAGTTTCCTTCTTCCAGGAAGCCTTCTTTGGTTAATTCAGTCCTTCATTATCTTTTCCTTTCCTCCCACTTGACCACAGATCTTGTTTGGTAGCAAGTCAGTGGCCCAGAGCTTGTGAGTGAGACATCCAGGGAGCAACTTCATCACCTTGATCGCTGGCATCTCTTGAGGTGAGGAGAGTGGGACTGTAAAGTAGGTTCTCAATAAATATTTGTTGGCCGAGCAAGGGTGAGAGGGAGGGGATGCAGGGACAAAGTAAGGATGAGGAGAGTGGTTGGAAAGGTGTGAGAACAGCATGAAAAGGCAGTTTGGATAAGTCAGACCTCAAGGCCACAGGCATTGACAGGAACCAGACTAGAAGCTGGAATATCTGAGAAAGTCTTTTTTCACTCAAAGTAGGAAGGAGAAGGTCAGGAATGAAAACAGTGGATAAGAATGAGAGGGGGCCAGGCGCAGTGGCTCACACCTGTAATCCCAGCACTTTCAGAGGCGAAAGTGGGCAGATCATTTTAGGTCTGGCGTTCGAGACCAGCCTGACCAACATGGTGAAACCGTGTCTCTATTAAAAATACAAAAAAAATTAGCTGGGCGTAGTGGTGCACACCTGTAATCCCAGCTACTCGGGAGGCTGAGGCAGGAGAATCGCTTGAACCCTGGAGGCAGTGGTTGCAGCGAACCAAGATTGCACCATTGCACTCCAGCCTGGGCGACAGAGCGAGACTCCATCTGGAAAAAAAAAAAAAAAGAATGAGAGGGAAGGCAAAGGGAAGAGAGAGATGATCACAGGTGGAGGCATGTGGCAGGAGACGTGCCTGGGACACCTCTCACGGCTGCATGGTCTGAGAGCTTTGAAAAAAAGACATTGTGTGCTGTGTGATTTCAGTTTGTGGTGCTATGTGAGCCCCTATCTGGGAACCCAGTTGTTAGTGCAGACTCCCACATTCATAGATGCTTTGGGTATGTGCCCAGAGCAAGTGGCTTTAGGGGAAATAGGATGAGCGGGGTCATGTGCAGATTGACAGGGTTTAGGACACAGAACTTTATAGGCAGAGTCATGAGGCCCAGAAAATCACGAACACATGCGGTTTCTGGGAACACCAGGACCTCCCAGATCCCATGGTGTGTGAAAAAGGTTTCAAGCTCTGCCAGGGCCAGATGGCCCACCTGACAAAGGCCATGCTGAGCATTCCTTCTGTGGGGGCAGATGTGGGGGCAGGCTGACAAAAAGTGGGGATTCCCCCATCCTACTTCCTCAGTGCCATGGAGAACTCTCCCTGGCTGGGCCAGGTCTGCACCAGTAACCTCTGGGGCAGAAGCCAACCACCTAGGCTGCTCCAGAGGATGCAAACAGTCGTCTTCAGGCAGAGGACTGCTGTCATCTATTCTGCTTGGCCCATACATAATTTTAAAAAGAAAAAGGAAAAAAAAAATCTCAAATTAATTGATACTGTTTACAGATTAGGCCCTTAATACAAATTCCAAGCTTCTCTTCACAAGTCAGCTCTGGTAAGTCTGGATCTACACTCTCCCAAGGCAGCTAGTGGCTAAGCTGGACAGGCACCACCTCAGATGAGAAATGCATTCTGCAGCTTGCCCTACCCCCGCCATTCCTTAATGTCTAGCTGTTGTCTTGCCTGCATAATTCATGCATATTATTTGATTGGCCACTGAAGGCATCTGAGTTGGTGACTCATCCCAAAAAATCACTCCAAGGTAACAAGCCCTCTGTTGCTGTCCTCACTCACAATGTGAAGGCACTTTGGCACTGTCGGGGTGCAGACACACTGAGTGGCTCACTGACATGCAAGGAACACGGACATGGTCATGGGAACAGGGGAGGATGGGCACTGTGGACACGCAGGGGCTGCCTAACAGCCTCTGAAGGCTGTTTCTTCAGTTCCCACAGGCCAGGGCCTAGGGGCTAAACTGGACCAAAACATGTTTTGTTCCTCTCCTAACTGATCACTTCCGTTTACAGAAACTTATCAGACACCAGACACCAAACCCAGCTTTGGTTAAAAGAGGGGCCATCCACACAAACCCCACAAAGTCTAGGCCTAGGAGGTATCAGGCAGCAGGCAATGTGGGGATCAAGGAGCCTGGGAAGCACAGTCCTGGATCTGTCTCAGGGACTGCTGCAGTGCCAGAGTGTAGGCCTGGTATTTGTTACAGTCTTAATTTTTAAGAAGAAATCCAGATTTTTAAGTGTAAATATCTGAGTTCTGATGTCAGCAATGAATCCAAAAAAAGAAAAAGCCACAAGAGCCAGCACCCTGGTCTGAAGGCCATGCTCAATTGGCAGGTACCTGCGAGGCCTGGAGTTTGGTTCTGTCAGGAGAGCTCATGTCCTGGGGCTGCCTGTGAGCAGTGGGTCTGAGTTGCTGTGAGCATGTGTGGGGCTTCCTCCCCAGGCTCCTTCCATCCTCCGGCATCCCTGCAAGGCAGCAGTCTGTCCATGGCTCAGCTACCCAGCTGCCTGTGTGGGGCTGGTGCTGCCCCTCTCAGGTCTGCTGTTCAGGTCCAACCCAATCCTGGGGGCCAACCTAACCCAGGAACCCCACGGGAACCCCTCAAATACCTACCACTTATGACAGGGGTAAATACTGCCATGCCTTTGTATTGCTGTTTAGCAATGGTTTTGCTCAAGATGAGCCCTCCAAAACTGGGGAGAGAGCAGACAGCAGTCAAGTAATCAGAGTTTACACTTAAAATGGCCCACAACCCTCTAAACAAATCACCCTCTCAGCCTGGCTTCCCACCATTAGCAGACACTCTCCTTTCCCCTACACAAAATATCTGCTGCATCCAAGCTGGTCTCCCCAGCGTTCTCTGCACCCTGCTCATGCTTTTCCTTCTCCACTCTGAGCCTCAACTATTGCAGTAAGCCATCCGAGAACACTCACTTATTGCAAAACAAATACCTTTCCAAGGGCCCACAGCGGGCTGGGCTGTCCCATGACTCTGGGACCACAACTGAGATACTCTTCAGCAGAAAACAGAACCTTCAGGAGAATCACCTCACCCCTTGTTCTCAGAAAATGTTGCAGCAAGACCTTGCTCCCACCAGCCACTGTAGTTTAGCAAAAGCTTTCCCACCCCTTGGAAGTTCTTAGAGTCCTGGAGAAGCCAGGTCAATCTGTATAAGGAGCCCAGGAGCCTCCTGGAAGCAAGGATACCTACTCCATCACCTCTTCTCCCCAAGACTTAAAGTTAGAAAACTCCATCAGAATAGACTGGGGTGGCCCCCATCAAGGTTGACTCCCAGGAAATGGGCCTTGACAAGGGGCTGGAGTGTGGTGGACCTGGGCTCAGCTGAAGGTTCTAAGGCTCTGGAGGGGAGCTAACCCCACAGCTGTCTGGGTCCCACCAGCAGCCATGAGTGGACAGTGACCAGGAGGACAGATGAGTCAGCAGATATGGCCTTGAGGCCAAGATGTGGGACGTGCCACCTACGCAAGGGTCTGGGCCAGCAAAGCTCTGGCGGCCATGGCCTGAAAGCCGCTGTGCACTCATGAGGTGACCCCAGCTTTGGCTCTCCCTGGCTCCCTGGTGTTCTAGCAATTGTAAACAGAGCAGCCTCTCTTAGAACCAATCAGGCCCAGGGTTCTCAGTGAAAGGGAGAGAAGAAAGTAAAGAGGTATAATTCAATCAGCAATGGGAGTTACTGAAGGAGCCCATGGCTACATTTCACTCCATCCCCGACCCCTAAGGCAGTGAGTGTCACCCTGGTTCTAGGGGCCTTCGTGGCTGAGAGGAGGAAGAGTGGGCCATGGCCCTGGCTCCTGCTCACCTGCTGATGACCATGGCCAGGATGATTGGGAACCAGCCAAACTTCAGGATCTTCACAATAGGTGGGCTCTGCTTGGCAATGAGGATCCACAGTGGGGTCAGAGCCGCGAAGCTGAGGCAGACCAGCGGTGTCAGATATTGATTCTCTGAAAGGAGAACAGGGACACACGTGACTCACGTGGCCAAGGCCAGCATGCACAGGCCCAGCCTGGGTTTCACAAGTTAGAAGTAGGTGAGGATGCTCCTATCCTCATCAGCTGAGGGGGAACTGCCTTGCCATACTTTTCAAAGAGCTTTCACCATCCCAAGAAGTAACCAGAAAAGCTCCTCTCTGACCTCAATTCCTGTCACATTCAACTCTACTTTTCTGGCAAACTTGCTATTTTCCCCACATAAAGTACTCTATTCTTAGTACTCTGTTGGCTGTGTGCTGGATCAGTCACCACTGTGAGGGCCCAGGACGAGCCTGACACATACTCGGGCACCTTGTGCATTCAATCTCTCCCTTCCTGCCTTGCACTTGGTGTGAGGGTCCCCTTCCACAAGTGACAGAACAAGACTGGCTTTCTCTAGAGCAGTCCTCTCATCCTCAGGCCCACCCTGATGTTACTGTCATAAACAAATAGAAGTACAGTTTACAGAACACAGCACGAGCCAGCACTATGCTTGGAACTTCGTGTGTACAATCTCATCTCACCTTCTTGGCATCCCTGCTCAGACAGGCAGCAGGAGGAAGCAGACATGCCGAAAAAGGTGGCTGCCCAGATAGCAAGCAGCTCCATCAGGGCTATGGACCGGGTCCATGGAATGCCAGGGCTGGCTATGGGATGCCACCTGTGGTCTTGGCTGAGGCCAGTCTCAGGCAACCACATGGGTTACGGCCAGCCAGGAAGCTACTCATGTCCCCGTCTCATCTTCTCCACAGGTGGGAGGACGGTGAAGACTGGCCTGGTGCTGGATCAGTCACCATTGTGGGGGCCCAGGACAAGCCTGACACACTTGGGCACCTCATGCATTCATTCCCTCTCTTCCTGTCTTGTGCTCTGTGTGAGGGTCCCCTTCCACAAGTGACAGAACGAGACACTAGCTTTCTCTAGAGTGGTCCTCATACCCTCAGCCCCACCCTCCAGAGGCCGGGTTCACCTTCCAAGGGGGCGCCAACACTCAGGGGTGCCCAGGCATGGGTCTGTGTCCCACACGCTCCCTCCATGGTGGTGCTATCAAGACGATCCCCTCCTTCCTCCTCTGCACTAAAGGGTCAAGGTCCATTCCTCTAGTTCAGGTGCCCCAGACTGGCTATAGACAAAGTATTTATGGTAGGAGGACGTGGCCTCTGCAGGAGATATAAGCCAGGCCCAGCCAGCTCTAACCAGGTCTTCCACCCTCTGAAACAACAGCCTGGAGGAGCATCATCTTATAGGATGCTTTCGAATCCAGTCTGAGTTTTTGGTTAGCTACTCACAAGTTTCCACAGGGCCTGCCTCATGTTCTCCCCAGCACACCTCCCCAGTGTGCAATGCCAGTTCACAACTACACCCAGCAGGTGCCACAGTCAGTTGCTCACACCTCTGTGGGTAAAGATTTATCTAATACAGGCCAGTCCCAGTGATTCCTGAGTGCAGCAGAGAGAAGATCACAGTCTCACTGGAGAGACAGACAGATGCTCCAAGAGTGATTTTCTGCCTAAATCTAAGTCGTGTGGAAATGAGCACATGGTATAGCAGGCAGAGGGAAAGGTTCATGTGATGCCTAACTCTCACTTATTTTGCAAGCCTAACTCAAATAATTAACCCATACACAAACTTTCTTGTTTAAGTTCAGTTTAGCTTAAAAGTATAATTAGTTTATCTTATTTAATTCTTACAGATCTCCATTGCTACTTAGGCAAACTTGGTGAATCTCCCTGGTGATTAACATCATTGCTGGCCTGCAATACCAGGATGGCAGGGAGATGGTCCCAAAGCTGGGACAGAAACAGTCGCAGCGCCAATACCCGCTAAATCACAGCTGTTTGTCTGCTTCAGTTGCCAGTAGGTAAAGATGGGATGCTTTCTCAAATCCCTGGGCCCACATTCTCCCGGGGAGTGATAAACTGCAGCTTTGCTGAGGTTCCTCCCTTTGTCTAGGTGCTTCCTCAACAACTGTCACCACCTGCCCACTGCCCTCCAATCCTCTGAGGACACATCAGTGTGGCCAACCAGCCTCAGGCCCCATTCAGCCTCCTAGGACACCTCTGCCCTAAAGGTAGAAGTTAACCACCCATATAAAGGCAGGCCTGCTTCAGCTGCATATCCTTCCTAACACAGTTTGGAGAGCTTGAGGCACTTTCCTGAGGACTCCTTGAACTTGTGGAAACCTCAGGCTTTGCCTCTGTAAAAGGATTTTTGACTGTAACACAGCAGGTTCCTTCCTGTGGGAATAATGGCTGATTTGAATACCACAGTGTCTTAGGTTAGTTGCTTATAACAGAACACCTGAAACTGGGTAATCCCTAAAGAAAAAGAATTTGTCCTTATGGTTATAAAGGCTGAGAAGTTAAAGGTCGAGAAGCTCCTCTGGTGAGGGCCTTCCTGCTGGTGGGGACTCTGCTGAGTCTGGAGGTGGCACAGGGCACCACATGGCAAGGGAAACGAGCATGTCGCTCAGGTCTCTCTTCCTCTTTTTATAAAGTCACCAATCCCACTCTCATGGTAACACATTAATCCACTAACCCATTAATCTATTAATCCATGAATGGATTAATCCATTCACGAGGGCAGAACCCTTACGACCCAATCACCTCTTAAAGGCCCCACTTATCAATACTGCCACATTGGGAATTGACACATGAAATTTAGGGACTTGTTGAAACCACAGCATTCCACCCCTGGCCCCCAAAATTCATGTCATTCTCACATGCAAAATACATTCATTCCATTCCCAAAGCCCCAAAGTCTTAACTTATGCCAGCATTAACTCAAAAGCCCGAAGTCCAGAGACTCACACGTGAGCCTATGAAATCAAAACAAGCTATCTGTTTCTAAGATACAATGGTGGTATGGGTATAAGACAGCCATTCCCATCCAAAAGGAAGAAATGGGCAAAAAGAAAAGACCCATAGGCCAAAACCTGAGAGAGCAGACACTGGGGCATGTGACTCCACAGCTTTCTCCTTTGACTCCATTCCAGGCGTCCTCTGCACACTGGTGAGGGGTGTTGAGGCTCCTAGCCCTGAGACCCTCCCACCTCCAACCATGGCTGTGCTGTGCTCAGTCCACCCAGCTCTCCCAGGCTGCAGTCACACACCAGTAGCTCAGCAGTCTTGGGTTCATGGTGGGAGTCCTGCTTCCATGGCTCCACTAGGCACTGTCCTGGTGGAACTCTCTGGGGAAGCTCTAGTCCTACATTTCTGCTTGACCCTGCTCTAGTAGGGGAGCTCTGCAGTGGCTCCAGCCCAACAGTGAGTCCCTGCCTGGGCCCCCGGGCTTTGGACAAAACACTTCCAAAACTTGGTAGCTACCAAGCTTCCATGGCCCTTGCTCTCCGCAAGTCTGGACAATTAGCACCACCGGCACCTAGGTTTATGACTTGTAGCTTCTGGAGCAGCAGCATGAGCTGCATCCGGGCTGTTTGAGCCATGGCTGGGATGGCTAAGGAGCGCTGCACTGGGATACAGGGAACAGAATCCCCAGGAGGCCTTGGGCAGCAAGCTCATGCCTTGGGCTTGTCCCCTGGAACTATTCCGTCCTTCTAGGCTTCTGGGTCTGTGATGGGAGGAGAGCCTTGAAAAATCTCTGAAATGCCTTTGGGACATTTCTCCCTGGTCTTGACTATTAGCTGCTGGCTCCCTTTCAGCCATGCTAATCTCCTTAAAAACTGGTGGCTCAGCCATACCCTTGGATTCCTCTCCTGGAAACTCTTCCATTCTCTACCATATGGCCAGGCTAAACATTTTCCAAATTTTTCTGCTGTTTCCCTTTTCTCTAGAAGTTCACCATATAAACTACAAATAAAATTCTAAGCTTCATCCCAACTATCTGAATGGACTTCCTCCTCAGCCAGGGGACTCTTAAAATTTAATCTGAAAGACTGGTTCAGACCATGATGGGAAGTGGGGATCGTACATGCCTCATTATCCCTCTCTGGGATGAACATCTACACAGACTTTCCGTGTGATAAGAAACATTTTATAATGTCTTCTCTCTGAAGCCTGCTACTTGAAGGCTTCCTCTGCAAATAAGAACTTGGTCTCCACAATCCTTTATCTTAACAGACATTCCCTTCTATTGATCCCAGGTCTTTTGACAAACTCAACAAATTGTCAATCAGAATTTTAAAAAATCTGCCTATAAGCTTGAAGCCGTCACTTTGAGTTATCCCATCTTTCTGGACCAAACCAGTGTATTTCTTAAATGTATTTGACTGGTGTCTGATGCCTCCCTAAAAATGTATAAAACCAAGCTGCACCCTGACCACCTTGGGCACATTTTCTCAGGACCTCCTGAGGGCTGTCACAGGACATGGTCACTCGTATTTGGCTCAGAATAAAGCTCTTCAAGTATTTTGCAGAGTTTGACTCTTTTTGTCGACAGCCATAAGCAGTCAGAAGTAACCATGCATCAGCCTGAGCACTTCACCGCTTAGAAATCCCTTCCACCAGACACCCTAGCAAATCGCTCTCAGGTTCAGCCTTCCACAAAGCCCTCAGGTATGGACACAGTTCAGCCACGTTCTCTGCCAATTTATCACAAAGATGGCCTTTACTCTAGGAGATCACGTGTGATAGTCCCTTTCAGAGCACAGTCTGAACAGGAAGGAGGACTGAAGAGAGTAGCTCAGGTCTCACCTCCTCTTCTTATAAAGCCATCAGTCCCATTCCCATGGTACTCATTAACCCATCAATTCATTAATCAATCACCTTTTAAAGTCCCTACCTTTCACTACTGCCAAGTTAGGGGTTAAGTTTCCAACACATGAAATGTGGGGGACACATTCAAACAACAGCACACAGGCTGGGTGCAAAAGTACCCACTCAGCCTTGGTGGTGACCTGCTTCAGGACCCCTCCTCTGTGGAGCCCTCCTTACCTTTGTGTCTATAGAAGAAGCTGCTAACCAAAGCCAGAATGGACAGTGTGATGAGGTCTCCGAGGCTGGCTGCAATGGGTGTGGCAATGTTGTCTGGGTTGACCCCGAGCTTTCGAGCACCAATCACTATACAGACCATCAGCACCCCTGCAGAAAGAAAGGAGAAAGAGCAGACTCAAATCCCAGGCAGCCAGATGGCCCTGAGCAGGTACAGCAGCAAGGGATGGGCAGCACAGAGCCGGGAATGGCAGGTGGCAGGGAGGCTGCTCATTAACTTGCCTCCCTCGGCAAAGGCACTGATGTGAAGCCAGGCTGCCCTGACTTTCAGAGCTTCCCAATACACCAGAGGCCTGAGAAGGCTGGAAGAGTTGGACTTCACTTTGTGACCTGTACGCATGATGCTAAGGAGTGACCTGTGGCTCCCGAGCTCCTAGATCACCAGGAACCACAGAGACAGGCAGCCCATAGCCCCATGCTGCACGGGGGCTGCTCCAAAGATGCTCGGAGCAAGGAGCCTCCCAGGGGTGAGCTCATGGCCTCCTGCGTTTACTGGCATCCTCTGAGAAGCAGTCACCAAGATGGAATCAGCCAGGTAAGAGATTTATTAGGAACTAGGCCAGTGAGGGAAGACTGGGAGGGTGGGAGGGAGCTGGGAGCACTGGCAGACATTGACACAGGCAGGGCACAGGAGAGGGGAGGAGGTAAGGTGGGGTGTGTCTGAGACTGTACTGCATTTCTAGGTGCACTCTCTCAGGCTGTCAGAGGCACCCTTGGAGGGCCACGCGTCTCCCAGGAACAGTCCTGTGATGGGAGCCTGTTCCTGGGCACTGGGAGGCACATGCTGTGGTGGCAGATTTCAGGGTGCAGCACTGAGAGGTGAGGCTCACACTTCCATGGCCACCATGACTCTGCAGTCCTCCTTCCTGTTCAGACTGTGCTCTGAAAGGGACTATCACATGTGATCTCCTAGTCCACATCCATAGCCTAGGTCTTGACTCCACAGCCTCTCACTTGGTTCTCTAAGAAGATGCTCTGTGTTGTGGATATTGGCATTTTAACACTTTACTCAGGATCTTGTAACTCTAAATATAATTATAATCACCACCTAATGCCATCCTCAAGCTGCCACCACAAGCTGCTTTGTGCCTTGCCTGATCTTTTGAACAAGTCACAGCCCTGTTAAAGAGGGAAATTAAATAATAACAATAGTAGTTTGTCGATGAGTTTGTGTCCTTTGTAGGGACATGGATGAATCTGGAAACCATCATTCTCAGCAAACTGACACAAGAACATAAAATCAAACACCGCATGTTCTCACTCATAGGTGGGTGTTGAACAATAAGAAACCATGGACACAGGGAGGGGAGCATCACACACTAGGGTCTGTTGTGGGGGAATGGGGAGGGACAGCAGGGGGTAGGGAGGCTGGGGAGGCATAACATGAGGAGACATGCCAGATATAGGTGATAGGGGGATGGAGGCAACAAACCATATTGCCATGTAAGTACCTATAAGACAATCCTGCATGTTCTGCACATGTACCCCAGAACCTAAAATGCAATTAAAAAAAATTATATATAGGCCGGGTGCGGTGGCTCACGCCTGTAATCCCAGCACTTTGGGAGGCTGAGGCGGGTGGATCACGAGGTCAAGAGATCGAGACCATCCTGGTCAACATGGTGAAACCCTGTGTCTACTAAAAATACAAAAAATGAGCTGGGCATGGTGGCGCGTGCCTGTAATCCCAGCTACTCAGGAAGCTGAGGCAGGAGAATTGCCTGAACCCAGGAGGCGGAGATTGCGGTGAGCTGAGATCGCACCATTGCACTCCAGCCTGGGAAACGAGAGCGAAACTCCATCTCAAAAAAAAAAAAAAAAAAATTACATATATAAATATATATATATATATATATAATCCCCCCCCCATTCCAGAGAGGATCCTGTCACACACCCAGAAGAAAGGAAGGCTGCAGAGAGAGACCAGAAAGAATCTAGACAAACAGGCCTTGCTGGCTTTCCTCACTCCATTTATTAACGTTAGGCTATACCCTTTTGTCCAATCATATTTCTTCACAGCTAGCAATAATTTTTTAAACCTCAGCATAAAAAAGGACAATTTTCCCTGAATCTTTGGGTCTTCATTCTGAAGTCTCCCATCTATACACATCAAATAAATTTGTATGCCTATTTAAAAAAATCGTAGTTTGTAATTGCTGCATAATAAAATAAGGTTTACTGTATTGTGTTTAATATAAATCCTATCCCCCAGCTCTGCTTAAAATTAACTAACTCCCTGTAAAACCTACCACATCTATTCTCCCCACATTCTCAGCAAAGTTCCCAAGCATCTCAAGACTCCTGTTTTTCTTGCTGACCAGCTGCAAGGTCACAGGGCAAGATAACACCCAAAGAATGTACAATGTGTTTCTCAAAATGCTATTTTTCAAATGTAATGTACATCATAAGACATGCTACAAATTAATTAACCGTTCTTTGTTTTCCCTTCTGTAAACCTGTTAGCTGCTAAGTCATCCTGAATATATAAAAAGTATCCCATTTTCTTTGTCTTTTGCTCAGTTTTCCGATACGAATGCATGGAACCAGTGAACCTAAATAAAATCCTCCTGTTTCACCCACTGGTCTCTCCAGTCTCCTGATATCTGCAACACCGCGTCTCCTTGTGAATGCCAGCTGTAAGTGAATCCGAGCTTGCATGCTGAGTCAGTGAGGTGGGGACAATCTCGCAGGGACCATTTAAAGGAACACCACTGGTTTGGGGGCACCTATTGAAAACCAATACCCTGAGGCTTGTGTGACAGCCTCTTCAATAGCACCTGGTGAGGCAACCGCAATACTTCTGAACAGCCATGGACAGTACAGATTTTGCTTATGTTGCTAAGCTTCACCCCATCTCTGGGCTCAGTTTCCCCTTCTGTAAAATGAGGAGCTGGGAATGGTGTTCTCTATAAGCCCCTGCAAAGACAGGGCTGGCCTTCTGGACTGTTAGACTCTGTTGTTTTCAGGAGACTTTGTGCTGAGGGTCTCCTACACTCTTCTTCTCTGGACCATCCTGCCCCATCCGTGGACCAGGCTGGGTCACGGCATCCACCATCTGTCCATGCCTGCACAGGCTGTGACCAGAAGCCAGCCTCAGGCAACACCTTGAGCAGGGACATGTGGTTTGTAAACCTGCAGCTGGGCTTCGGCACAGTCCTCTTCTGGCCTACAACCTCCACACTGGCTCCACGCACTGGCACAGGAATGGGGCTGATCAGCTGTCTGGTAGGAATAAGAAACCTCAAATAGCCCACATGGGTAACCCACAGCAAGCCAAGCCCAGATGGTATTGACAGAGCAAGTCGGAGGGGGAATAGATGTATAAGCATAGGTTCAGTTGTGAAGTTACCAACATTGACTTCTTTCACTGCACCAAAGCAAGGCACCTGGCCTGCAAGATTCACACAGACACATGACCCAGGAGAGAGCTGGAGGACAGACCATTCATTCAGCTAAAATCTGTGAGCTGGTTATAAGCCTGGCCCGGGTTTAAGGGATGACGGTAACCGAAAGGTTCTGTTCCCATCAGTAGAAATGCCTGTCAGGTTGGGGGAGAGACAAAATGCAACTGCGGGAACACACATTTGAGGTGAGGTGAGTAAAACAGGACACTAAAGGAAAACACGACTGGAACCAAGGTCACCTTAGTGTTGGTCAGAGAACACCTCAGGACAAAAGCGGCACATGGCACTCACTCTACTGTCCCGTACACTCACAAGTTTGTCTGCCCCTGAGCTAGACTATAAAATCAAAACACATTTTGTTGACAGTCTATCCCTAGCACTCCACAGTGTCAGGCACACAGCAGACACCCAGCAACAACTGAATCACCCATGGATGACCATGCAATGTGGCGAATGTGTGGTGATTGTGCTTTCCCCACACGTATGAGCCCCAGGGAAGAGGGTTATGTCTGCCCACAATTCTGTCTCACGTATGCTGCAGATGCACATTAAACACCTGCTGTGTCCAGCATGAGACAGGAGCAGCAGACAGCAGGTAGGAACTGCTGGGTCCCCACTCTTGAGGAGGTGACATTTTAGCAGGGAGGTGAGGCAGAAAGATGATGAAACAAGACAATCTGAGCTGCACAAGCAGAGCCGGGGTCCACGGGAAGGGGAGAAAGGAGGAGGGTGCACATGGGAGGGTGGTGCTGTGCATTCAACACTACCGTCCCCCTAACCCACACGTTGAAATCCTCACCTCTAAGGTGATGGTGTTAGGGGGTGGGGCCTTTGGAAGGTGAGGTCATGAGGATGGGGGGCCGCATGAATGAGATGAGGGCCCTTATGAAAGAGGCCCCAGGGAGCTCCCACATTTCTCTCCACCATGTGATGACAGTGAGAAGCGACGGCTGCAACCTCAAAGGGAGCAGCCCCGATCCCAGCCCCACAGGCACCCAACCTTGAGCTCCAGCCTGCAGCCCAGTGAGGAGTAAATGTCTGCTGCCGCCGAGCTGACTGGGAGCTCCGTCAGAGCAGCCACAGGCCCCTCAGACTGGTCAGAAAGGCCTCTCTGAAGACATGAAATGGAAGCTCAAATCTGTGCCTTGCCTCCAGGATGTCTGCAGCCTCCGGAGTCCATCACAGGCCTGTGTGTAAGGTTATGCTCAATAAGTGTTTGAAAACCAACAGGCTGACTGAACAGACAGATGAACAAGTCTGCTGTGTGCAAATATCAGGCCTCAGCACAGGAGCGTGACCAGCTGAAGAGATCTGCAGAGCAGGACCAGGCCTTTACACAGCAGAGAACAGAGGTGGGTGGTGGCAGGGGCAGCACACACCCTGCCTGGGTGAGGACCCAGCTGGCTCCCTCCACCCTGTTAGTGAGACCCCTGAGCCCACCATCAGTCCCATTAGTGGTGAGACTACCCAGAAACTGAAAACACAATGAGCCCTGAGGTGGGAACTCAGAGGAGCAGGGGGTGGGTGGGGGCACACAGCTGGGGCATGGCTCACCCAGGGCAAAGGCTGCAAGGAAGGCAGTGAGGACACTGCTGGCACACAGCAACTCCACCTTGGCGATGTCCACCTCTTCTCTGGACACCGTGCCCAACAGCAGTGCAGCCACAGCAGCCAGGAGCCCCACGACAGTGGCCTGCAACTGTCAGGCAGAAATCAGAAGCATGAGGGGGGTGCCTGGGGCCAGCCGCACTCCCTGCCCTTCATACCTTGCTCACCACAAGGGGCCGGGTGCCACATGCTACTCCCTCCTTTCCCTCACCGTAAAATCTCACAAGCCCTCACCCCAGGAACAACTAACACCACAACCCATATCTGCCTTGAACCCAACTCCCCCAAAACCACGCTGGCCACATCTGCTCCCCTGCTGGGCACCGCCTACAACGGCAGAATCTATTTCTGCTCAGACTTCAGGCAGGGGCCACCTGGTCTCTTGCTCACAACTCCACTCTCACTGGTCTGGGTGCTCTGCAACCCCCAGCACTGCAGACAACACACCTCACTTACCATGTGGTGCACCCCACGATGCAGAGCAGCCACACAGGAGGCCTCTGCACACTTTTGGTCTCTCCCGGCACCCTGCACACACCCTCCCCCTCCAGGCTCTGTTCCCATCTCTGTCTGGCCGAGCACACACTACCACATGCGCCAGGAGATGCCCTGATCTGGACATCAACACTGGCACCTCTAATCCAAAATGCTGACCTGGAAATGTTATTAAAGAAGGACACAGAAACAAAGAGCTCCACCATGCACAGGGAGGAGAAGAGCGTATGGTTTGACTCTGTATCCCCACCAAGTTTTGTGTGGAAATGTAATCCCCAGTGTTGGAGGTGGGGCCTGGCAGGAGGTGATTGGATCATAGGGGCGGTTTCTCATGGTTTAACATCACCCCCTACCACTTGGTGAAGTCATCGATAATTGTAAGTTGTCATGAGTTCTGGTTGTTTAAAAGTATGTGGCACCTCACTCCTCTCTTGCTCCTTCTCTGGCCATGTGAAGTGCTGCTCCCCTTTTCATTACCCCTGCTTGTAAGTTTCCTGGGGCCCTTCCACAAGCTGAGCAGATGCCAGCATCATGCTTCCATGCTGTACAGCCTGTGGAATTACAAGCCAATAAGCCCTCTTTTGTTTATAGATTACCCAGTCTCAGATATTTCTCTGTAGCAGCATGAGAACAGACCAACAGAAAATGGTACTGAGGAGTAGGACACTGCTATACCTGAAAATGTGGACACAACTTTGGAGCTGGGTAATGAGCAGAGGGTAGAAGAGCTTAAAGGGCTCAGAAGAAGACAGGAAGATAAGGGAAAGTTTAGAACTTCCTCGAGACTTGTTAAATGGTTGTGACCAAAACGCTGGTAGTGATATGGACAGTGAAGGCCATGCTGACGAGGTCTCAGATAGAAATTAGGATCTTTTTGGGAACCGGAGCAAAGGTTCCTTTTGTTACACTTTAGCAAAGAACTTGGCTGTATTGTGCCCCTGCCCTAGGGATCTGTGTAACTTTGACCTTCAAAGTGATGATTTAGGGTATCTGGTAGAAGAAATTTCTAAGCAGCAAAGCATTCAAAATGTGACCTGGCTGCTTCCAATAACCTATGCTCATATGCATGAGCAAAGAAATGATGTAAAACTGGAACTTATATTTAAAGGGGAAGCAGAGAGTAAAAATTTGGAATATTTCTACTGGCCATGCAGTAGAAAAGGCAAACCCACTTTCAGGGGAGAAATTCAAGCAGGCTGCAGAAATTTATGTAAATAAAAAGAAGCCGAGTGCTAATAGCCAAGACAATGGGAAAAGGCCTGGAAGACATTTCAGAGACCTTATGGGCAGCCCCTTCCCTCACAGACCCAGAGGCCTAGGATGACAGAATGGTTTCATGGGCCAGGCCCACAGCTCCTGCTGCCCTGCACAGCCTCAGGATACTCCTTCCCACATCCCAGCCACTGAAGCTTCAGTCATGGCCCAAAGGAGCCCAGGTACAGCTCAAGCTGCTGTTTCAGAGAATGCAAGCCATAAACCTTGATGGCTTCCACATAATGTTATGCCTGTGGGTGTACAAAGTATAAGAGTTGAGGCTTCAGAGCCTCTGCCTAGATTTCAGAGGATATATGGAAAAGTCTGGATGTCCAGGCAGAAGCCTGCTGCAGGGGTAGAGCCCTCATGGAGACTCTCTACCTGGGCAGTATGGGGGGAAATGTGGAATTAGAGCCCTCCACCCCACAGCCACAGGTCCCACTGGGGCACTGCCTAGTGAAGCTGGAAAAAGAGGGTCTCCATCCTCCAGATTCCAGAATGGCAGATCCACCAGCAGCTTGTCACCATCAGCCTAGAAAAGCTGCAGGCACTGAACACCAGCCCCTGAGAGCTGCCTAAAGCCTCTGTGGCTTTGCAGGGTTCAGCCCCATCTGCTACTCTCACTGTAACTAATTTGTCTTTGATTTTACAGGCTCATTGGCAGAAGGTACTTGCCTTGTCTCAGATGAGACTTTAAATTTTTGAGTTAATGCTCGAATGAGTTAAGACTTTGGGTGACTGTTAGGAAGCCATAATTTTATCTTGCAGTATGAGAAAGGCATGAGCTTTGAGGGTCCAGGGGTGGAATGATATAGTTTGTACTTGTTCCTCCACCAAATCTCATGTCAAACTGTAATCCCCAGTGTTGGAGGTGGAACCTGATGGGAGGTGACTGGATCACAGGGGTGGTTTCTATGGTGACCCCCTTGGTACTGTCACCTACAATAAGTGAATTCTGCTGAGATCTGGTCCTTAAAAAGTGTGTAGCACTCCCACCCACCACTCTTTTGCTCCTTCTCTGGCCACATGAAGTGCTGGCTTCCCTTCTGTCTCCCACCATAATTGTAAGTCTCCATAGGACTCGTCAGAAGTCAAGCAGATGCTAATATCATGCCTCCTGAACAGCCCGTGGAACCATAAGCCAATTAAACTTTTCTTATAAACTGCCTAGCCTCAGATATTTCTTTTCAGCAATGCAAAATGGACGAATACAAAGAGACAGTTTTTTAAAGCGAACAATGCTCCCCAAGTTAATCTATGTAATTCCAGTCAAAGTCCCAACAAGATCTTTCACGGCACTTGGCAGCTCATTTTAAATTTCACAAAAATGAGTAACTGTGCAAAAATAGCCAAGATAGCTTCAAGAGGGGTCAAAGAGGTAGTGGTGAGATATTCATGATCCATGTGTATTTTAAAGCTGCAGGAATGAAAGCAGTGTGGTGCTAACAGAAACAAAGAGATCAGCAGGACAGAACAGAGCCCAAGAATAGAACCATGAATATATGAAAATTTAACATAGAAAAATGTAATCATGACTATATGGTATGATAAAGGTGGCATTGCAAATCAGGATGGAATGGGTAACTATTAAACAGGGTAAGGAAAATTGGATATCTAGGTTTGGGAAAAATATGGGTCCCTACTTCACACCATGCACACATCCCCTGAACATAAAAACCATATTCCATAAAATAAAATATATAATATATATTGTACAGAATATATAATTATAAAATGTATAATGTATATTATATATATTATACATAATATATATTATTATATTTTAGGAAAATTCTAAATAAAATCTCAATATGCATATAGCATAAAACTTTTTATGCTTAAACTATATTAAGTTATATATATAAAACTTTATAACTTATATACTATGATATATAATTATTATATATATTATACATATATACACAAGTCCATTTATACACTGGACTTCATTATTCTGGATACTAACTAGAAAAATACATGAGGTTTATGAATAGGCAACTCACAGAAAATACAAATGGATAACAGATGTCCATAAAGACAAACTTCTCTAGTAGTTAGGAAAATCCTAAATAAAATCTCCACTTGAAGTTATCTATTTGTAGCTGATGCTGTTCTTCCTCTTTTAAAAGGAAAGTACTATCTTGTTTTCTACTGGGATCCCTGTTCTGAGCACAGAGCCTGGCACTCTGCAGGTAGTTACACAGGCTCAATGGATAGATGGATGAATGGACAGATGTGTGGGTGAATAGGCAGGTGGATGAATGGGTGGGTGGGTGGATGAATGGACAGATGGACAAATGGATGAGTAGGCAGGTAGGTGGGTGGGTGGGTGGCTGGCTGGGTGGATGGACGGATGAACGCACAAGATAGACTTTGTTTATTCATCAGATTAGGTAAGATTAAAATTTAAAAGGTTGATAATATAAAATACATATTGACAAGTATGTGAGAAAATGGTTCTCTTACATATTGATGGGGGTCAATATTGGCACAGGAATTTGGGGGGAACTTTGGCTATAATTTTCTATATACCTTATGATTCAGCATTTTCTCCAAAGAGCACTTGCATATGTGTACAAAGCATTCACAGCTGATATTTAGTGAGTGCTATCTGCTATGTTCAAAGTAATTTTTATTCAATAAGTCATATTAAGAGAAAAGTACAAGGTACAGAATTGTGTGTATAGCGTAAAACTTTTTATGTTTAAACAATACAGAAAACCATATATATTTTCCGTGGACACACACACACACACATATATATGGTGAATTCAAAAAGTAGTTTAGAAGAATATTTTCAAAGCTAATTAGGTTATAGAGAAACTGATTCAAATATTGCTCAGATATTAATGGTAGGGCTAATTATTTATTATTAAAAATGAAATAGTTTTTAATCATTTTGGAGGGAAATCTAGAGGTTTGAACTGTTCATACTCTTTGAACTTGTGGGAAGTTATCTTAAGAATTTCATGCACAAAGATATTTTCACTGCAGTATAATCTTTCAAGTAAGTCAAGGGCTAGGGAGATCACAAGGCCCTGCTCAGTGGCAGGGTTCAGGGGAGTGAGCAGAGCTGGTACTGAGTGGACTCCCAAGAGACTGGCTCTCAGTGGCTGCCGTTTGGTCACTGCTGCCACATTTATATGATAGACTATGTTGAAGTTCTTAAAAAGTCCAATGAATAAAACTTACTGCACTGACGATGATTCAAAGTTAAATAAGCTTTTTTAAAAAAGACAAAATTACATCCATGTTAGGATTGGGACTATATGCCAAGTTGGTGCCTGGCCTGAGCAGGGCTTCACAAACACATGTTGAGAATCAATTATGTGGAAATGTGCATCCATATGGATAAAGATTTTATGGAAAACAGCAAAGTACAAGCAGTATGACTTGCAGCCGAGGCATTTATTACCTGCCCCTTGCTAGACCTTGTGTTAGAGGCATCACATGCATCTCGTTCAACTCGGCAGTTCAGCCACAGGACATGGTGCTGGCCCATGAGACTCAGCTCAGCTGCAGAGAGCAGACATTTAAACACACATCTACAACCAGGGCAGCCGCAGCAGCACACATAAGGCACCAAAGAAGTAAAAGGTAGAAAGAGATACAGCTGGTGTCAGGGAGGTAATTAGACCTGAGTGGAGCCTTTAAAGAGTGTCACTGGCAGCTGAACTAGATAGAAGAGAAAGGACCTTGCAAGGGAAGATGGCTGAAGATCCATGGCAGGGACGTGTGAAGGGGTGGGGGCTGGGCAGAGGGTTGGTGAGATGGTGCGGCCAGACCCACAGTTGGACGAGGGGAGCGAGTGAAGGAAGAGGAGGCATAAATGACGTTGGATTTTAGAAAAGACCACCCAGGTGTCCAGGAGGAGCTGGAGGATTCAGGGCCTGGGAGTGGCTAGAGCAGTGCGGAGGTCTGCCATCATCCAGGCAGGGGAGGAGGAGGAGAAGCAGGATTCATGCAGAGCTCGGAGGCAGAAGCCTCAAATGGACTGCATGCTGAGAAGCAGCTCGGGTGACATAGCCTGGTGTGGTTATACTGGGAAGGAACATTACAAAGCACAGCTGACAGGACATGGTGATGGCCAAAGCCAGCCAGAAGCCACACAACTTCGCAGCACCCCTGCACAGGTAAGGTGAAGTGACTTGCCTGAGGCCCCTCAGTGGGCTGATTCCCAAAGTAAGCTTTCAACCATCACGCTAGACTGAGTCGGGGACTTTAGCAGAGGTGAGTATGAGCAGGGAAGATAATGAGGCCGGACTTGGCTGTTTTGGGGGGTGCCTCCGGGACAGGTGGACAGAGATGTCCCGTAAAGTTAGATATAGTGGTTCTGGAACCCAGGTGAGGTATAAAGTAGGCGTCATCCTAATGTGATGGCTGGGGGAGTCAGTCCTGCTCAAGGCCATCCAGTGGATAGACAATGGGCTGTCTGATCTCAGGGTCCATATTCTCAGTGCTGCCACAGACCGCTCCCACCCAGAGACCCAGAAGGTTCTAGGATAAAGTTACCTCCTGTCTTTGTCCAGGCCCAGCCTCTCCTCTTGCCTCTGAACTCAATCTCTTTCTCAGCTTCCCCTGCTTTGGGCCTCCTGACTTAGGGACGCTCTGTGGCAAGGTCCCAGGATAAGTGCTTAGCGGAACTGGGACCTGGTAGAAGGATGTGTGAGTGTGAGAGGAACATGAATCAGCTAAGGAATTAAGATGTCTCTTGCAGGCTGAGAAGGAGCAGGCAGAGAGGCAGGAGCAGAACCAAGGGAGGATTTCCAGGCAGGAAGGATCCACACATGCCCAGAAAAAGTAAGACCATGTGTAAGAGGCAATCGCAGGCTGCCTCAGGGGAACACCTGTGGCCTGGGAAGCACAATTTGAGGCAAGGGAAGCCTATGAGCACTTTGCAGGCCATAGGACAGAGAAGGAGCAACAACAGGTGGGTCTTTCAAGAAGTGAGGCTTGGAAAGAAGGGAATGGGGAAGCTAGAGGGACCCTGGGTCTGCTTCAGGTGAGCTGATCCTCCAGAGGCTGCGTGAATGTAGTCTGATGGACATGAGAGGGACACCTGTTCTTAAAGTTCAGGCCAGAGCACAGAGCTTGCTTAGCCTTTACCCTTCCCACCTGGGCAGGCCTGGCTGCAGCTTCAGAAGGGAGGGTCTGACAAGGTGGAGACTCACCTGGATGAGGGCCAGGTTGCTGCTGATGACTCTGTGTTGCTCCTGGGGGTCATCGATTTGTCCAGTGTTGGCCTAGAATGAAGAGAAAAGGACAAAGGTAGGTCCGGCTAGGCCCAAAGCCAGGTCAGCCTTTCCTGGAAAAGGCAGTCTCTTGGGAGAAATCAACAAATACCACTTCATCAGCATCAAAACAAATTCTTTGTTCAGCTTTCCAAACAGCAACCTGGCCTTTTTACGTGGGGAGTGGGGAGAAATGTTAGGGCATAGATCCCTTTGAGAACTGGATGGGGGTCATGGACCAGTTCTCCATGACCATGCAGGTATATGACTGCACACACTTGCACACACACAGCCGTACACACACACAATGCACAGGTCCAGTGGCCTAGGACGAAAGAATGGTTTCAGAACCAGGACACCACTTCCCTACACAGCCTTGGGACACTGCTCCTGACATGCCGGGCTGCTCCAGCTCCAGCCATGGCTCAAAGGATACCAAGTACAGCTTTGGCTGCTGCTTCAGAGGATGCAAGCCTTATGCCTTGGTGGCTTCCATGTGTTGTAAAGTCTGTCAGCGCATGGAATGCAAGAGTATTTCAAAGGATGTATGTGAAAGCCTGGGTGCCAGAAAGAAGCCTGCCACTAATGCAGAGCCCCCATGGAGAAACCTTACTTGGGCAGTGCCAAGGGGGAAATGTGGGGTTAGAACCCACACAAAGCCCCCACTGGGGAATGCCTAGTGGAGCTTGGGAAGGAGGCCACCGCCCTCCAGAGCCCAGAATAGTAGAGCCACCAACCAGCTTGTAAGGTATGCCGGGAAAAGCTGCAGGCACTCAACTCCCACCATGAAAGCAGCCACAGGGGCTGTACCCTGGAAAGCCACAGGGGTGGAGAAGTCCAGAGGCCTTGGGAGGCCACTGCTTACACCAGTGTGTCCTGAATGCAGAGCATGGAGTCAAGGGAGATCATTATGGAGCTTTAAAATGTAATACCTGTGTGCTGGGCTTCAGATTTGCATGGGGCCTGTTACTCCTTTCTTTCAGCTGATTTCTGTTTTTTGAAATGAGAATGTTTACCCAGTGCCTGTACTACCACTGCATCTTGGGAGTAAATCACTTGTTGTGATTTTACAGTCTCATAAGTGGAAGAAATGTGAGTTGGGTTTCAGATGAGACATTGGATTTTTGATTGAGTTGATGCTGGAATGAGTTAAGACTTTTGGGGACTACTGGAAAGGGATGACTGTATTTTGTAATGAGAGAAGAACAGATATTTGGGGGGCCAGAGGAAGAAAGATCTGGCCCCCCCAAATCATTGTTTATCCAAACCCCCAAATACCTGGTTTGGATATGTGTCCCTTCCAAATCTCATGTTGAAATGTGATCCCCATTGTTGGAGGGGGGGCCTGGTGGGAGGTGTTTGAGTCAAGGGGGTGGATCCTTCATGAATGGCTGGGTATCCTCCTTATAGTAATGAGTGAGTTCTTGCTCTGAGTTCATGTGAAAGCTGATTAAGATTCTAGCACCTCCTCCCTCCCTCTCACTGCTCCCTCTTCTCACCATGTGACACAATGGCTCCCCTTCAGCTCCTTCCATAATTGGAAGCTTCCTGAAGCCTTCACCAGAAGCAGATGCTGGCACTATGCTTCCTGTACAGCCTGCAGACTGTAAACCTCTTTTCTTTATAAATTACCTAGCCTCAGGTATTCCTTTAGAGAAATACAAATGGACTAACATATTCACCAAACTAAGAATTGAACAGTGGTACAACACTAGTAAGTAAACTCTAGAAGGTATTCAGATGTCCCCAGTTTTTCCACTAATGCCCTTTTTTATGTTCCAGGAAATAAATCAGGATCACTCATTGCACTTAGCCACAGCTCCTGAGTCTCACTGTAGAAGAATGAGTCAGTTATTTTGTGGGATGTTCCTCAACTGGGTTTGTCTGAGGTTTCCTCATGATTAAACTGAGATTGTGGGTTCTGAGGGAGAAGACCAATGGGGTGAGGTGCTTCCACTGTGCACCCTGTCACAGGTGATACCAGCATAACTTGTCACCAATGCTGCTGACTCAGGTCACTGCTGAGGTGGCATCTGCCAGGTTTCTCCACTGCAAACTCTTATTTTTTTCCTTCCTATACTCTCAGAAGTGAGTCATTAGGTCTTGCCCACACTCAAGGGGAGAGAATTAAGCTTTAGCTTCTTAAAGGCAGCATATCCAAGATTTGAGGACATATATTAAAACCACCAAAGAAATCCACATGTATTTAAAGGAGATACTTTGAGGCTATGCAAAGATTCTACTTCTCTTTAAAGACACACAGTCTAATAATTTCCTAAGGGATCTTACCTGCGGATATGTGTGCATACACAGGTTAGCATATACATGTATATACGTTTCCTAGCAGTGCACTGAGAGGATCTAGAAGTGGTGGCATGCCAGGATGCCAACCAATGGAAGTACAGAATCTAGGGAAACAAAGTAGGAAACTGAAAAGGTAGACTCAGAAACTATATGTACCCAAATAGGAATTACAGAGGGAGAGGAAATGAATAGAAATGAATATAAAAATACAAAAATAACAAAAAGTATTCTATAGAGCTGAAGACAGATGTCTTTAGATTGAAAAAATCCAAGATATATGCAGAATAATAAGAAAAAAATCTATGCCAGAAACATCATGGTGAAATTCTGTAACACAGATGATAAAAGAAAAAAATCTCCAAAAAGTCCATATAAACAAGTTACCTAAAAGAAATGAGACTCAGGCCGGGCGCGGTGGCTCACGCCTATAATCCCAGCACTTTGGGAGGCCAAGGCGGGTGGATTACGAGGTCAAGAGATCGAGACCATCCTGGTCAACGAGGTGAAACCCTGTCTCTACTAAAAATACAAAAATTAGCTGGGCATGGTGGTGCATGCCTGTAATCCCAGCCACTTGGGAGGGTGAGGCAGGAGAACTGCTTGAACCCAGAAGGCGGAGGTTGCAGTGAGCCAAGATCGTGCCATTGCACTCCAGTCTGGGTAACAAGAGCGAAACTCTGTCTCAAAAAAAGAAAAAAGAAATGAGACTCAAAAGGACACAGGCTTCCATCAGCAACACTGGGCACAAGAAGATACTGAAAATATAACTTCAGTACTGCAGGAAAGTAATTGTGAACATTGCATTCCCTAGCCAGCCAAGCTGGCATTCAATGGTAAAGAGAAAGTAAAGCATTTTCCTACTCCAGATGTTAAAGTTTACTTCCAACAAAACTTATCTAAAACAATTACTAGGGGATGTACTTGAGTACAAAACAAAACAAATATAAATTTAAAAGGAAGCTGAGAAAGAGTGGCACCAGCAAGATGGTGAATAGGCAGCTCCAGGCCCTTGTTTCCCCACAGACACATCAAATAAGTAACACAGACTGAGCAAAATAGCTTTGTGGCAGCTCAAATATCAGTAAAGATCTGCAGCAACCAAGAGAAAATTCAACCAAGAAAAAGCCACCCTCAAACTAATAGGAAATTCCACGGTATTTCTGCTTGCCCTTACACCACTCCTCCTCCACACAGCACAGTGCAGTTGGGGGGAACCACCTAATCCGAGAAAGAAAGGAGGAAAGAAAGAAATAGAACCTGCTGGCTATCCTCTTGCTCGCCTGGGGGCTGCCCAAGAAACTGATTCCTGTTTCTCCCGAGAGAGCAAATGGAAATGGAGACACAGTTTGAACATTAGGATGGAGGCCACAGAGGCGCCCAACGTGTTAGAGCTGTGGAGGAAACGTAGGTCCATGAGGGCCTGAGGGGCAAGACATTACAGACAGAGAAACGCAATAGAATGTCAAGGACCTGAGAAGCAGCAGAGCTGACACTCTGAGAGAAATTAAGACATTTAAAAGCAGCCATGTATATGGGGGAATTGGAGCTAAAAAGCACATCCACAGTCCCAGGAAGATATATGCCAGAAAACCACTGACAAGACCTTAAGCCTTTATGACAAACTAATTAGTGAAGATTTTTCCCTGCACCGAGCAAGTCTGCAAAGATTGGGAGAGATGGCTGTTTTGCAAATACCTAATTTTTAATAAAAGATGAGAAAGGATACCAAAAAATAAGTTAAACACACTCTATACATAGGAACAAAAAAATTGACAGACATTGACCCTAGAGAAACAAAATCTTCACACTTGCCAAAGACTTTAAAACAACTGTCTTAAACATGTTCAGTGAGGTAAAGGACATATAACTTTAGGAAATTAAAAAAAATATATGAACAGGATGAAAATATCAACAAAGAAGCAGAAATCATAAAAAGAGAACCAAACAGAAATACCGGAACTGAAAAACACAGTAATGGAATTGAAAAATTCTCTATAGAGGTTCAACAGCAAACTCTAACAGTCAGAAGAATGAGTACATTTGAAAATAGGTCATTTAAAATTATCAAGTCTGAAGAACAAAAATAAAGAAGACTTATTAAAAGTAAGCAAAACTTAAGGGAATTATAGAACACCATCAACTGAAATACATACAATTTGGAATTCCAGAAAGGAAAGAGAGAGATAAGGGGGCAGAGAGGTTATTTGAAGAAACAATGGCCAAAAACTACCCAAATTTGGAAAAAAAAAAAAGAAAAGATATAGATATAGAAATGTAAGATGTATGAATTCCAAGTAGGATAAACTCAAAAAGATCAATACTGAGATACATTATAAACAAACTATTTGAAAGTCAAAAACAAAAAGAGAATCTTCAAAGCCAAGAGAGAAAAGAGACTCATCACATGCAGAAGATCATCAATAAAATCATCAGTGGATTTCTCAGCAGAAACTTGCAGTCCAGAGGTAATAATACTAATATATTTAAAGTGCTGGATAAAAACAGCTGTCAACTGAGAATTCTATATCTGGCAAAACTATTTTACACAAATGAGAGAAAAATGAAGACATTCCTAAATAAAAGCTAAGGGAGTTCATTATTACTAGATCTGCCCTAAAAGAAATGGTAAAGAGAGTCCTTCAAGTTGAAATAAAAGGATGCCAGACAGGAACTTGAAGCCAGATGAAAATATAATGTTCTCCAATAAAGATAAATGCACAAATTGTATTATTTTAAAATTGGTTTGTAAAAATTTTTATAAGCATTTAAAACACAAAAGCACAAAAATAAATATAAATCTATTTTAATAGGTATACAATATAAAAATATAATTTATGATATCAGTAATACAGTTCAGAGGCAGAACTGTAAAGAGTAGAGTTTTATATGCGATTGCGTTAAACTGCTATCAGTTTAAGGTAGACTGTCATCTACACTAATGGCTATACTAATACAAGACAAAATGGACTTTAAGTGAAAACCTGTTACAAGATACAAAGAAAGATATAACACAAGGATGAAACCATCACAAAAACAGAACAATTACAAATAATGAAACACATTTTACCAAACATCAAAATTCCAAAAATATATGATGCAAATACTGACAAAATAGAAGGAAGAAAGAGAGAGGCGTTAAATATTATTTGGAGACTTCAATACCACACCGGCAATGATGAATATAACAACCAGACAGAAGATCAGTAAGGAAATAGACGGTTTGAATAACATTAGAGACCAACTGGACCTAAAAGACATATACAGAAGACTCCACCAAACAATGGAAGAATTCACATTTTTCTCAGTGAAATGTGAACATAAAACATTCTCCAAGATAGACCATATATTAGGCCGTGAAACTAGTCTTAATATATTTAAGAGTATTAAAATCATACAGAGCATATTTTCCAATCACCAGGGAGTAAAACTAGAAATCAGTAGGAGAAAGACAACTGAAGAATCCAAAAATGTGGAAATCAAGCAATACACTTGAATAACAAGTGGGTCAAAAAAATAAATTCTAAAGTAAATTAGAAAATATCTCAAGACAAATGAAAATGAAAATACAGCACATCATAATTTATAGGATGCAGTGAAAGCAGTTTTAAAAGGAAATTTATAGCTGAAAACAATTTCATTTAAAAAAAAAGACTTCAAGTACACCACCTAAACTTATACCTTCAGAAACTAAGAAACAGCAAACTAAACCCAAAGCTCACAGAAAGAAGGAAATAATAAAGATTATAGCAGGGATAACTAGAGAGTAGAGAAATAATAGAGAAAAATCAACAAAACTAAGAATCGATTGGTTCCTCAAAAAAAAAAAAAAATCAACAATTCAAAAGCCTTCAGCTAAACTGACTAAGAAAAAAAGAAAGAAGTCTCAAAAAACTATAATGAAAAATGAAGATTAGATATAACTACTGATTCTACAGAAATAAAAAAGAATATAAGAGAGGAAATTGTATCCAAACAAACTAGGCAACCTAATTAAAATGGATATATTCCTAGAAACACACAATTGACCAGGACTGAATCACGGGGAAACAGGAAATCTGAATACACTAAAGCAGTAATTAAAACCTCCCAACAAAGAAAATCCAGGACCAGACGGCTTCACTAGTGAATTCTACCAAACATTTAAAGAAAAATGAACACCAACCATCCATAAACTATCCCCAAAAAATTGAAGAAGAAGCAGTACTTCCAAATTCATTGTATAAGACCAGTGCTACCCTGATACCAAAGCCAAAGACACTAACAGAAAATAAAACTACAGACCAATATCTGCTGAATACTGATGCAAAAATCTTTTTAAAATGCTAATAAACTGAATACAAGAGTATATTAAAAGAATTATGCACCATGACCAAGTGGATTTATTCCTGGAATACAAATGACTATTTCCAGTGTGTACAGTATACAGAGACATATTTATGTATGTTAATGTATATATTTTATTTCATGTAGATGTTTTGAAACTGGCCCACTTTACTATTTTACAGTTTTCTAAGTGATTTGCTTAGATTTTCCAAGAAGGCAAGCATACCGCTAATAAAAAAAGTTTTTCTCTTCCTTTCCAATATTTAAGACTCTTACTTTGTCTTCCTACTTTATTATACTAGCTAGAACACACAGAACAAAATAAATAAAATATTCTTCTGTGTCAAGTTGCACTAAGAGTATCTTTGTAAGTCACATATGGGAGTTGAAGGCAAAACTAATAAATGGAGATTGAAGGTAGACCAGAGGGGGGCGGTATGGAGCAGGTGAGTGGGCTGCAACAGCGACAAGAACTTTCCAGGGAGATGGAGATGTTCTGTGTCTCAACTAGGGTCATAGCTACACAGGTGTAGGTATTCGTCAGAAGTCATTGACCTGCACACTTAAATCCTCTGTTTTTCTTGTTATCAATTTATACCTTAAGACTGATTAAAAAAAAAAAAGTGGAATCTTTGAAGGTTCTACTGTGATAATGCGTCTGTTCTCCTTTGAAAGACTGTTGTAATGAATTACATTAATAGTTCTTTTTTGATATATACCCAGTAATGGGATTGCTGGGTCCATTGGAATTTCTATTTCTAAGGCCTTGAGGAATCGTCACACTGTCTTCCACAATGGTTGAACTAGTTTACACTCCCACCAACAGTGTAAAAGTGTTCCTATTTCTCCACATCCTCTCCAGCATCTGTTGTCTCCAGATTTTTTAATGATCGCCATTCTAACTGGCGTGAGATGGTATCTCAATGTGGTTTTGATTTGCATCTCTCTAATGACCAGTGATGATGAGCATTTTTTCATGTTTGTTGGCCTCATGTATGTCTTCTTTTGTAAAGTGTCTGTTCATATGAATCTGGAGAACATCATTCTCAGCAAACTGACACAAGAACAGAAAATGAAATACTGCATATTCTCACTCATAGGTGGGTGATGAAAAATGAGAACACATGGACACAGGGAAGGGAGTACCAAACACTGGGGTCTATTGGGGGGAAGAGGGGAGGGACAGCGGGGTGGGGGAGCTGGGGAGGGATAGCCTGGGGAGAAATGCCAAATGTGGGTGAAGGGGAGGAAGGCAGCAAAACACACTGCCATGTGTGTACCTATGCAAATGTCTTGCATGTTCTGCACATGTACCCCAAAACCTAAAATGCAACAACAACAAAAAAAAGATATTTATCACACACACAAAAAAGTTCTTTTTTCCTCTCATGTTTTATGCTTTTTAAGAGAATTATAACGCTAAGGTATGATCATTGTACAGAAGTGTTTAAAATGCAGTTAAGAGCTGGACGTGGTGGCTCATGCCTGTAATCCCAGCGCTTTGGGAGGCTGAGGTATGTGGACCACCTGAGGTCTGGAGTTCAAGACCAGCTTGGCCAACATGGTGGAACCCCATCGCTACTAAAAATACAAAAATGAGCCGGGTGTAGTGGTGCACACCTGTAATCTCAGCTACTCAGGAGGCTGAGGCATGAGAGTCAGTTGAGGCCGGGAGGTGGGGGCTGCACTAAGCAGAGATCACACCACTGCACTCCAGCCTGGATGGCACAGTGAAACTGTCTTAAAAATATAAAAATAAAATAAAATGCAGTTAAGCACTATGAAACAAACATCTGAAATGCCTCCATGGCAGAGATTACTATCAACATTCTTTTCCCTCACAAAAATGGATCAAAACAATTGTGCACACATGTATGCATGTGTATACATGAGTTGTGTGTGCATGCGTGTGACTGCATGCATGTTACCAGCTGTTCAAACATTTCCACATCCCACAAGGCTCCACGTGATCTGGCCCTCTGTGTTAGTTTCCTCTTGCTGCTGTAACAAACTTAGTGGCTTAAAACAAAAGAAATCCATCCTCTTATAGTTCTGGAGGACAGGAGTTTGAAATTAGTCTTACGGAGCCAAAATCCAAACCTGACTCCCTCTGGAAGCTCTAGGGGACACTCTGTCTCCTCTCTCCCAGCACACACAATGGCATTTCTCAGCTCATGGACCTCCATTGTCAAAGCCAGGAGCATAGCATCTTTCCTCTCTTACCCTGCTTCCACCACATGGCCTTTTCTTCCTGTCTGAAATGTCCCTCTGTCCACCTCTATAAGGGCCACCCCTGTGGTTACACTGGGTCTATCTGGATAATCCAGGACAACTTCACATCCCAAGGAGCTGCTCTTAGTCACCTCTGCAAAGGCCTCTTCCCTAGAAGTTAACATCCACAGGGTCCAGGACCAGGACCTGGTTATCTTCAGGGCCACTGTTTGGCCACTCACACCTTGCCTATCTCTTCAGCCTCATGTTCAGCAGCCCCCTGCCCCACCCCACCTGCCCTCTGCTCTCTAGCTACGTTGCTGTCCTCTCAGTTCCTTGAACACACCACAACCTCCTCTTGCCACAGTCTTTATCACCTACAGGATATCACATGGGCATCAGAGAACGAAGAAACCATTCTGTGTAGTAGAAGGAAAAAAGCTTCAGTCTCCTGGGGTAGCTGGGAAGGTGTGAGAAGAGCTGGCAGAACTAGGAACTATGCTGGTTCTGGAGCCCAGAGAAGACGCCTCCAGTGAGCAAGTATTCAGAGAGCCATTCTGGGGAGTAGAAGCAGCCGAGAAAGGTTCCTCTAGGTGACAAACCCTTCCTGTCTCCTCCAGTAAACCCTCCATCACGTCTGCATTGCTTGTCATGGCTTCTGCGTAAATGTGTGAAGGGGCTGAGCTTCACAGGCTCAGGGTCCAGGTGGATGTGGGTGGGCAGGGCAGTGTGCGGATTTGGGGCACATGGCACCCACTGACATTTAGGTCAAGGGAGGAACGGGGACACACAGGGTTGTGGCACGTCCCTTAGTCATCCAGTTTGGTAGTGGAAAGCTAGGGTGTTAGGCTGGGAGGGGGACCAGGGACAGCATCGTTAGGTAACAAAACTCAGAAATATCCATTGTTCTGGAGAATCCAACCCACCGCCTGCGCACCAGGGGAGACCCAGTGGTAGGGACGCTCCTGCCCCATGTTGTGGCTGCCTTGTATGTCCAGGTGTCCACTTACAGCTGTGGAGAGTCTGGACGCCAGTGTCATCTCCAGGTTCCCCTTCAGGCCCACCAGGGGTGGCACCAACGTCAAAAGGTCTTTCACCTCCACAAACACAGGCCAGTGCTGGTAGGGAAAGAGTAGGAGATAAACCAAACATACATGTCAGCGAATCTCTGGAAATTTCTTGAGAGAACCTTTAGCAAGTCACTTTTCACTCCCCACAAAATGAACAAATCAGACTAAGTAGTTTCTTGAATGACTTTAAACTAAACACAAAGAAATGATAAAGCTGTGAAACCTTTTTGGTGCTGTTCACTGAATCAACATCAGTGGCTGGAAGCACGCTGGGGGCTGGGCCAGGCTGGAGGCCAGTGGGTGGCAGCTGGGCTGCCTGTGCTCTGCACCATGTGTTCTGTAGAGGCATGCATGGGTCCTGGATGAGAAAGTTGGGGGATTTCTCATGAATTGGGAGGCCTGGAAACACCTGCAAGATGGCTGGGCTGAGGAAAGGCCCTGTCTCTGCCGGGGATCGAGGATCTTCAGGCAGGCCAGGCAGGCCCTGAGTCCCTCTACCACCAGGTCCAGGGGCTTCGTGCAAGCTGCCACTGAGCAGCCTGTGGGGCTCGAGGTGTTTAAAAACAGATGGCGTATGTCTCTATCCCATTGAACGTAGAAAAATCAATAAATTCAAAGGTCAAAGGGATTGGTGCTTCAAGAAAAATGGAAGAGAAAACATTTACTGGTAGAGGTGAAAACAATTCTTAACTGTTAAATGTATAATTAGATGTTCCCCTAAATCCGTTTTAATGCCCCATCTGATCCTACTGATTTATTTTGCCTGTCTGGCCGCTGCAGAGATCTCTGACACCTAACACTAGAAGCTTCTCCTGGGTTTGGAATTCTAGACCTGAAAACAAATCCCTGCTTTGTCATCAAGGAGATAGGAGGCCTGGGATCTAGTCCCTATACATCCCCTACAAGGCAAGAGCTCTGTAAAGATGTGCACATTGGCCCAGCCTCTAGGGACTCAGACAGTCATCCACAAGCTGCCCAGCAACAGGCCTGACCAGGCACGAAGGTGAAGAGATCAGGCCAGAGGCCCTTTAGGACTCCTTTCTGCTCTCAGACCAAGGAAGATGAGCACTGCTTATGGCTCCCTTCCCTTCAGTTTCTCCCTGTACCTTATCTACTGGGCTGTGGACTTCAGAATCCAGTGCCAGCTCTGATGGAGTTCTGAGTTTGTCCTGTTCTAAAACTTGAGAAGAAAACAACATCACCAAGCAAGGTGTCCTCCCGCACCTCCCAGCCTCCCAGTGGCATCTGGCCACGGCTCTGTGCAGCTGTCCTCTCAGCCTGCACACTCCTCAACACAGAGCAGGTCCCATCCTTAGCAGGGGAACCAAGACTATCACACACTCCCCAGCTGGCCTTTGGGTGCTGCCACCCATACTCTCCCAACCTCCTGTGCAGCCTAGGGTGCTCATGGGCACTCTCTCTGCCTATACCCAAGACCCCGCACCCAGCAACCCCAAAGTCACAAAAAAACCCTCCTCTCAGCCTTCTTCCTGCCTTTCCAGCACCACTACCTTCAAACAAGTGCCGGTCCTCACCCATCACTCTCAGTGCTGCAGCGGCTGGGTCCACCCTGCAGGCTTACAGCTCTCACTCTCTCTCTAAAGGAAGTGGTGGCCCCTGATGGGTAAGCCCCACCTGCTGCTCTACCTTCAGGGTGGCACTGTCCCCCACTGCACGGATAAAGCACCTGCTGACAGGTGCAGCTCTACAACCCTCTCCCCTGGCCTCTCGGCCTTCACCCCCCAGTCCTGTGCCCACCTCACGATCCACCCCATCTCGGCCCCTCTTCCTTCTCCTGACCTTGTAATACTGACATTCCTTCCTGCTCTCTCTTCTGTTCTTCTTTCTCCCCACATCCTGTCCCTTCTGCAACTTGAGTCCCCTTCCACTGCACACCCTGCACTATCTCCCAGCAGCCACCCCACCTGCTCCATCCTCCCAGGGCTTTCAGCAGGAAGCCTAGGCAGGAGATGGAGTGGAAGCTGAATCCTAATGCATGGTGGTCCCATCCTCCTTGCCAGCGGTTGCTATGACTCGGGCCAGTGAGATCTGAGAATTCCCGTCTGGGCACACTGGGTGTCACACAACCATGACACGACTGCTCTGGCACAAAGTCTCGGAGACTGGCTGAATTGTGTCGCCTAAAACTCGTATGGTAAAGTCCTCATGCCTAGTACCAAAACATGACTATATTTGGAGAGAGTGTTTAAAGAGATAAAGTTGAAATTTAGCCATGAGGGTGGGTCCTGGCCCAGTATGAGTGGCATTCTCATTAGAGGAAATTAGGACCTAGACATGTACAGAGGTGGGGGCATGTGAAGACACACAGCCATCTGCAAAGCTCAAAAGCCAACCCTGTCAAAACTTGCATCTCAGACTTCCGGCCTCCGGAACTGTGGAAAAAATCAGTTTCTGTTGTTTAAGCTACCAGCTCGGTGGTATTTTGTTACGGCTGTCCTAGCAAACAAATACAAATGTGAAGTGAAAAAATGCTGGGTGACACTGTTAATCCAGTAATTAACCAATTCTGGCACTGTCCTATCTCTAGACTTCTGTACAGAGATAATAAGTATCATTTTTAAGTCCCTTTGAGTTAGGTTTCCTGTTAGCTGCAGCCAGCAGCAAATACACAGACACCCTGGGCTTGAGCGGGTGCCTCCCAATATCTCTGACTCAGAAGTCCCTTGTGAACATCAGATCTGCCCGTCCAACTCTGGCTGAACCCTGGACACCCCACAAGCACCTCAAACCCCAAATCCCCAAACTTCTCCTTGCCACCCTTCCTGCTCTGCCAGCCAGGACTCAACGCCTTCTTTTCCCCAATGTGACATTCATCACAGCTTTTAAATTCTGCCACCGCCCTCTCCAGCAACTTTAAAGATGCCTATATCAGTCATCAGGGAGGTTGAAATCATCAGAAATAATGATTCTTACACTTGAGGGGCTCTGAACTCTGCCCACAGCCCCCAGCTCTCCCCTGCTCCTCTTCACCCTTGGGGTCATCCTTGACACCACTGCCTGGGGTGAGTTTTGTGGCATAAATATGACCCCATCACTCAGCTACCTGTAACCCTTCACTGCCAACTCCTTTTCTGGGGCGTACCTAACACATAAGTCCTATGAACCCCAAAGACACGCAAGCATATGTAAAGGACAGCCAACGCAAACTCACAGTGCTAGAGTCAGAGGTGGGGCTGAGACAGCGGAGCACAGAGGACTCTGCTGGGGCTCTGCTGAGGATGCCCCGGGTGGGGCTGCAAAGGTCCCTGTACCTTGAGGTGGCCCATGGAACCGCACAAAGGGGTTGTGTGCTCTCCTACATGTCTATGCTACCCTTCAATAAAACCAGCAAGACTCTCATTTTAACATAAAGCAGCCACCTGCTATAGTTAGTGCACAGCACACACTCTGAGCAGAACAGACAGAGCCCCTCACTCCTGCCCAGCATCCCTGTCCCTATGACAGCAGCCACCCCATCCCTCATGCTCTACAAATACACACTATCATTCACCCATATCTTTGCACACAGATCACTCTGCCTGGAATGTTCACGTCTTTTCAGGGCCTCCTGGAAATTGCTACACTACGCTTTAAAGTCCAAATCAAATTGCCCTGCTCCTCTACAGATCTCCTGACCCCTAAGAAGAATGACTGCTCCCTCTTCCTTCACAGGCAAACATCTGCTTGTGGCTTCCACTCCCTGCCCAGCCCTCCGGACTGCCCGACAGTCTCTCTCCCCAGCATTGGCAGGGTGGGGCTCTCAGCACAGCTTGGGGTGAGGCTATTGGAGGAAGAAGTGGGTGTTCAGGTTGCAAGCCCACAGAAGCACAAGTTTTCTAACAGGGGGCTGGCCAGGATGCAAAAGGCCACCTCAGCCCCAAAAGCGGATGAGTGTCCCATGAACTGAGATGAGTAAGCAGAAGCCACCTGGGAGCCATCGTGAGCTCACAGTTGGAGGCTGGGTGGACTGGTGGGTACAGACCACCCCTCTCCAACTTGGAACCAGGAGCGCAGACAGATGCTGAGTGGCCTTTAGGAAGAAGATGCTGCGTACACTTGGGAACATGAAACGCTATCTGAGGTGTCCTTATGGTTTGAAATTTCAAGTTTATATTTACAGATTAAAAAGCAATACTGCATAGTATAAATCACACATGTATATGTTGATATGTACATAGAAAATTGTCTTGATAGGTACACAGCAGCAGTGATAGAGGCTAGGGACACCCTCCATCACTTGGGTGTATTTTCCAATTTTTCTAAACTGACTCTATATGAAATGTTTCAGTAGGCAGACAGTACAAACCTCCCAGTGATTCCAATACGCTACCCGAACCACACTAGGGGAGAAACAGATTGTAACGAGCGAATCTCCCTCAGCACAGGCCACCACCGCAGGGAGGCCGCCACGGCCTACCCTCAGGCTCCAAACCTTGTCCTTTCACCAGGGGCCACACCAGGATGCCGGGGGCTGGGTACACTGAGCTCTGCCTGCAGCAGTCATGCCCCCACCCCACGGGGACCACAGCACACAGACCAAGTCATCTGGTCCTCACAGTTCAGTGAGGTGAGGGCTTTCATGATCCCCATTTTACAGATGGGGAAATGAAGGCAGAACAGTGTAACTAAGAATCCCTTCCACTGGTGAGTGGCAGACTCTGCCCCGTGAACCCACATGCTCTGGGAGGAAGGTGGTTGAGCTCCTGGGCTGAGGAAGCACGCGCAGGCTAAGGTTCTGACAAACCTCCATCGTTCTATGAATCTCCAATGCTGAGGTCTCAGTGTTAGAGGTCCCTCCTGCCAACCTCACTGACACCTAGGATGCTCAAGCAGCAAAGGCAGGCTCAGGGCTGCTGTCCTATTCCAGAGGCCTCTCATGTCTCCAGCCTGCCCTGTCTGTGGGGCCAAGAGACCTGGTCTGTGTGCCCCCCACCCCCCACCCCCGACCTCCAAACACCCAGTACGCACTTGGATGGTGTTCATCACCAGGCCGGCCATCATCATGCCCAAGCCAGACAGCAGAATGGGCACCACGACCTGGCACATGATGGTGAAGAAAGACTCAGGCAAGACCCCATGTGAGGACCTGGTGAGCTCACAGCTGAAGCCTCGCAGCTTCTTGCCCTGAAAGCAAAACTTCAGATTTAGCTGAGTGACCACCATGGCCAGGCAATGCACCACGATCCTAGGAGCATGCAGTCGGAGCCTGGGGTCCCTCCAGTCCTCTCCTCCTGGCCCACACCAGGATGTTCTTCCCAAGAAGTCCACACAAACAGAGGCTTCCCAGTCGCCAGGTGCCCTGCGTCTGCAGAGTTCCCTGATAGCCCCTTGGCAGAGGGCCAGCAGAGATGAGTGAGGAACAAAGGCCAGTGTGACTCAGGGCCTCATTCCGGAGACTCCGCCGGCCCCTGCTGTCCCTCCCTGAAGGTCAGGTTCTCCTCAGACAGTGGCTGTGTGTCTGCCAGGACCTCCCTGTGCCGGCCTGCCATGAAGGCTCATGGTCCCTCTGCACCGACCTGGACAGCATCCAGCAGCCCAGCAGGCCGGTCGATACTGGCTGGGCTGGACAAAGCTGGATCCCACGTGGGGCCTGGCCTTGGTGAGTGCCCAGACCGAGGTCTGCTGCCACCTTGCCCTGTACAAGTGCCCTGGGCTGCTCCCCTCCTGGCAGAGGAGGGCCTGGGGAGATGTCAGCACAGAGGGACTACCTCCTTGGGCCAGTTCTACAGACCTCAAGTTATATTCTTCAAGGTCAAGCAGTCTGTGGGCAGGAAGTTACACCCTGGGTCATCTCGACTTGTGTCCAGCCAGCGGGTTCATGGCCACAGGAAGCTGTGTTCACAGAAAAAAATGCAGCCCTATTCTCCCTCCACAGCCTGGAAGACTCATAAACATGCTTCCAAAGTGACCTGGCTTTCTTCATGTACAAAGTTCAGACTGGCCCTGCTGACCCTCCTCACCCAGAGGAGAAGGGTCTGGGAAGCCACCTCTTTGACCCCGGGGGTTCTGTTGTTGGATGCATCCTCTGTACATTCATTCCACAGGCACCAGGAACAGAATGTTCATGCCTGAGGGCAGGCTGGGGCAGGCAGAAGCCCGAGGCTGATGGTCAGACTCACACCTGCTGAACGCAGGGCTGTTGTCAGGTCTAGGCCTCACTTCCACTCTCATCCCTAAACTGTGACCCTAGTCGGGCACCTTACCTGCTTCTCCCATCGGACAGCCTATCCCAGGCTCAAGTGCAGACCCCAGCCTGGAGTCAACTGCCCTCCCCAGTGTGGGTCCCACCGGCCTCCCCAAGCCTGTCCCTGCAACCGAACTCCAGATGAATTTCTCCAGCACCTGCTCCCCTCGTGCCCCCAATATTCCTCACACTGCATCTTTGCTCACACCCTTCATTTACTCATTCATTCAACAGATATTTTCAAGCCCCTTGTAGGAGCAACGCATAATGGGCCCTAAACTCCCGCACAATTCCCACTGAGAGCTAGAGTTTCTGTACCCCTCTTCCCACTGTCCCCACAGCTTGTCCAAGAGAACACAGCAGAAGAGACGCTGTGGCAGTCAGTTTATGGGTGTGGATATTAAGAAACCGACAACTTTTATCTTTTAACTTTTTATCTTTTGGGCTGCTCATGCTCCTAGCTACTCTGCTGTGAGGAAGACCACATGGTCACACATAGAGGCCACATGCCAGGGTCCTGCCTATAGCCCAGCTTGGTATGTGAGTGTGCCATCTTGGGCTGCCGCAACAGCCACAACACAGAGCAGGCGGTTCTTCTCACTGGGCCCTGCCCAGATTCAGCATCAAACAATGGCTTTAAACAAGCTGCTAACCTTTGGTGTCCTTTCTTATATGGCGGTAGTTAACTCCATTTGGGAACTCTCTTCCTCACCCATGATCTTGCTATTTCAGATGGAGCAACTCCCAGATCTCTCAGCCCAGACCTCTTCTCCAAGCTTTCAGACCATATACCCAGGCCCTGGTAGGGATTAGCATGTGTCTCACTCCGCCAGTCTCTCAGGACCACTGCTTCCAAGCTGGCCTCTCCCAAGTGGCCCGCCTCAAGGAAAGGTTCTGCTAGAAATGCAAGCCTCACTCCGAACCCCAACCACCTCAATCCCACATCCTCTCTGCCTCTCCCCACACCTCTCTCACAGCTGTCCCCAACTTCCACCCACAGACGCTGCCTTCGCCACGGCCCTTTGTCCCTCTAACCTGTCTCCCTGCAAAACCAGCGTGTGCTCTTCACAGGCACAACCCACAGGTGCACTGTGAGGATGGCGCTTGCTCACACATCCTCCATGGCTGTCAATGCACAGCCTAAGAAAAGGGCGCCTGGACCCCTTGGAGTCTGGAAAGACATCCATGTGAGCCTCCTTTTTTCTAGTCCATGGACCTATGCTGTAGCTGCAGAGGGAATTTCTCACGACCCTCACAGGGGCCATGCCCATGCTCCTGCCCTCTGCTGCAGGCCAACATGTCACTGAGGCCAAACATCTGCCAGGCCTCTTGGCCAGCTGAGGCATCTCCTCTCAGCCAGAACCTAACAGCTCTTTCCCAGAATTCTCAACATACTCTCTGAACCTCTCTGAAGACAGGTCCCACTTTTGCATAACAGAAGCGTGAACTGCAGGTGTATCTGCCCTCCCTCCCTGGCATGAGGCCCCTCCTGAGAACAGAGCCCTCTCACTGCTGCAATCCTGGGGATTCTCCATGGTTTCGCTCCACGGATCAGTACTTAGGGCCTAGTATTTGCCAGCCTCTGCCCTAAACTCCAGGGTACACTGTGAGTGGAACGGACACAGCTTATCAGATAATCAAAAAAAAAAAAAAAAAAAAAAGAAATGAAATGATGATCTGTCCAAGTGCCCTGAACAAACCCAGGGCATAATGAGGGCACAGAGCAGATTCGGCCACATGCAAGCACTCAGTCACTGCAAATAACTGAAGGAATGCTCGGCTCTTCCCTTGCACGGCAGTCTGTATTTCTCAGAGCTCTCTCGCATTCTATCAATTTCACAACAGCCCTGGGATGTTCACAGGAACTACAGCATTATGTTTTGCAAATGAAAAAAATGAACGGTCTTCTCAAGACCACACAGCAAGTTAGTATCAAAGGCAAGCCGAGACCTCAGCTTCCAGGCTGCCACTTTTGCCTGCCAACCCCATCGCTGTCCGTCATCCATGGTTAGGATCAGTTTGTTCGAACAGAAGACTGAACCAACAGGAGGCAGAGAGAAATGGCCTGATTCTGAGAGAAGCGTTGCAGAAGGTTACTGGTTAAAGACAGAGTCCTCTAGGCTGGCCTGGTTTCTCTGGCTGCTCAAGGCCTGTCATGGGATGCCCATTCCCAAGGCACACAGGTGAGCAGCCCCTGACAAGTGATCACTTCCTTCAGGTGTCAGCACCTCTCGCAGTGTCATCAGAGTTTTGGACGTGGTCAGACACCACCACACAATGTATAATCATACACAAATCTGGAAACATCCTCTTCAGTGCAGGAGATGCAGAAATTAACAATCATTTGCCCACTCTCATATAAAAAGGGGTGTCTGAGCAAGTAAGTTACAAATTATTACAAAAATGTTTCTCAAATCTGTTTAAAACTTGAGTGAGAAACAAAGATACACACACACACGCATGTGCAGTGAAATGTTGTCTTTATTTTATAATTTTCTATTCTGACAAGTGTGATTATTTGTTTTTATAAATCACAAAATAAATTGTCATCAAAAGCAAATAATGTAATTAGAAAAGTGACTCTCCTGTGAAAACTTGACAACAAAACATGTCAACACAGCTCATTGGGTTATTATCCAGAAAATCAAGAGTGTGGTTTTAAAAATAGCTCAGTAGCACAGCAGAAAAATCTCAAGGAGCTTGAACTAGATTCTAGCTGCACAGAGCAGCAGGTGGAATCTAGGTCTGGCGTCTGGTGGTTTCTGTGTGACCTTCTCTGGGCCTCCGGCCCACCCCACAGCCCACTGCATGAGAAAGTGGCACAAGATCAGTGGTTCTCACCCATCAGGTACACCAGGACCACCCTGGGGGCTTCCACAACAGGCAGCCCAGGCCCCACAAAGACCACAGGATCAGAACACTGAAGACCACCGATCTCTGCCCACCGCCTCATTCTTACCGGGGTGTGTTTTCAGGGGAGGGTCTGCAGAGAGTGGGCAGGGGGCTCTGGAGTACATTTCTGATGCTGAAATGGGAACTGCTCATGTTCCCAGGAGCGGTTCCAACACAGCATCCAATTCATTTCTCAGGGTCACCTTGATCCTAGGCAGGTTCTGAGCCAGATGGTCATTCTTATAGTTCTGAATTCTTCCCCCATTTTGTTCAGGTCTCACAGATCAGGCCAATTAAATTTTAAATAACTGTTAAGGTTCGGCCAGGCAAGGTGGCTCATGCCTGTAATCCCAGCACTTTGGGAGGCCGAGGCAGGCAGATCACTTGAGGTTGGGAGATCAAGAACAGCCTGACCAACATGGAGAAACCCTGTCTCTACTAAAAATACAAAATTAACTGGGTGTGGTGGCACACACCTGTAACCCCAGCTACTTCAGAGGCTGAGGCAGGGGAATTGCTTGAACCTGGGAGGTGGAGGTTGTGGTGAGCTGAGGTTGCGCCATTGCACTCCAGCCTAGGCAACAAGAGCGAAACTCTGCCTCAAAAAAAAAAAAAGTTAAGGTTCTTCTTTATTTTCTGCTTCTGATCTTGACTGGTAGAACCCCCCCACATGTGAAGATTAAAGACTTGTCCACTCCCTGCCAGGGTGGCCTGCTCCTGCAGTGTCTCCAAGTAGCCTCTCTTGCCTCCCCTGCAACACCCCCTCCTGGGGAAGGGGGATCTTCTTGGCCTCCCTCCACAGGGCCGCTCCCACCACTTGCTGGGGCACACAGCCCTCACTGTTATCAACACTGACCCCCGCACCTGCTGTGTGAGCGACATGAGGGCAGGACCATCTGCCTGGCACAGGCACACAGTATATGCTGCCTGAATGAGTGAGTGAGTGAGTGAGTGAGTGAGTGAGTGAATGAACGAACAAACTGCTGTGGCCCTCACCTATCCAGGGCTGGGTGTCAAGGGTCCACCATACCCATAACCCAAGGGTGAG